CCTTCATTATTTTGATGATTTAAAGTTGTGTGATTAAAACATGTTTTAATCCTGCATTGAAAATTATTAATGTCATTGTAGATATAACATATCCAAAGTAATTTAGACACTAATTGTACCGCCAACTAAACAATATTTTGAGTGATATTTCAAACTCATTTCAATCATTGATATCACTCATTTTCTTGAATCGCAAATTCAAGAAAGATTTAAAAGCAACAAAAGTTCCATAAAAAATTACCAAATTTATATATAAAGATTTTCTACAGGAATATGGTTAATTTTTGTAGAAGTGTCTTTGCTTTTAAATTTTTTGTCATTTCAATCATCTCTGGAAACTTTCTCAACATTTTTGTGTGAAAAATTATTAAACATAGTTGACCATTTGGTTCAGAAAGTTCACAACAGGATTGAAAATTTTTGAGAGTTTAATGATACTTGGATAGCCGAATAACATGCTAGAAAGCACACCAGTAGAACAATTCCACTAAAATTTTGTATGTTGCGGTCTCAATAATTACTTGAATTAATCTCAGTTGATAGACTCAAGCCAGCAGCCATACCAATCCTTAGACAATGTAGAAGGAGAAGAAAAATGTCAGGAACAAAAAATCCGTGATCATAACAATCATGGCAACATGCTTACCTACCTTGCTTAATAATCCTTGCAAAAATTTGCTATGTCTGTTTGATAAGTGAAGTTACAGAAAGATAAATCTGCACATTACCACTAATAAAATATCTGCTATTATACGGTATGTAGCTGTGAAACTTAAAGAGAGTACCGGTAGGTAGTGTTGAGACATCATATATAGGTATGCACCTTTATTGTAATTAGCGGAAACAAAATGTACCACATTCATCATTTTAATGAAATATTCATGCAACTACTAGCAAACTACCTAAACTAGGTATAGTACGGTGTACTTGTAAAGTGATTTATTTCCTTCATTAATTTAGTCAACACTTACCACTAAGTTACCAGTATCCTCATTCTGCCTTAAGGCCCGTTTACACTATAGGGGCAATGACATGGGCGGTGAGGCGCTTGCTGCAGCGCCTCACCGCCCACAACCGTCCGCACTTATTTTTGTACACAGTAGCTCGAGACCGCGCGCTTTGAAGATTAGATGCCAGTTAATAAGGCGTCAGTGGAGATGGATATAACCGAATTGGAGCTCTGGGCCATTGTTCTCGGGTGTGCTGCTGTTAAGATTTACACAATTACATTTTCAAAGAATTATCAGTTGCAAATGCATCAGACTTTCAAAATTATACGTACTAGACTGCCAGTGGACTTGTTTGGCAGTCTGCTAAAGAAAATAATGTCACTCATCCAGAAGCAGGATGATGGAATTGAGATGGAATTCACATGCAATGGAATTCATTTGCAATGAAATTCATTTCACCATGGAATTTCAAAAGCAACATATGAATTTTCTTGCAAACCTCGTCAATGGTGACTTATACACATGTATATTAAAACTTAAACTATTTTCACCAGAGCTTGTTCTTTTGCATTTCGACTTTTATACTCCTTTGACTGAACTCTCTACAGGCATTCATGCTCTCTACAAAGATCAATTAGCCTCTACTAGAGAGCGAGTCCAACCAAGTGTGGCGTTAGTTGCCATACTAGTGAAGGACCAGCCTATACAGAGTACAGACGACCTCGCTAGACCAAAGACAGCCGTCCACTGATGCAGCGCTTGTGTTGCATGAGGCAGCCTGATTTGTGAATCGCTTGCTCGTCAATTGCTTCTTTGCCCACAAGAAGCGCACTTAGAGGGGCAGTGAGGCGCTTGATGCCCGTGTGTTGCCCCTAGTGTGAATGGGCCTTTAGTCTGCCAATTTTTAGCAGCCAACTTCCATATTCACTCAAATACACTTTACACATAAGCAATAAGCATCTTTCTTGATTTATTCTCATATCAGTCCTCTCACATTTAACTCTGCTAATAGCAGTACCGGTACCAGACACCAGTCACTGGATGCTATACTAAACACATTCCTGATTACTATGGTCCTTGCCTAATCTCATTTAGAAAAATTGAGAAAATGAGATATTTTTACCAGCAATTTAATAAAATAACTCTGAAACATCATTTTCATGGTGCATCTAATGTGAAACATTGGGTGATATTCTAAGAAAATTGCAGGTGAAAAAGATCACTTCATGAGCAATATATGGGATTTGCCAACAGAAACAAGGTATTTTCAAAATTTTTCTAAATAAAATTAGGCATAGGCTTCAAAAAATATCTGCACAAATGTAGTACTGGTGCGCAGTTTTTGTCTAAATTCATGGGTAGCTTCTGCCATCAGTCTGATTTTCCAGTTAAGGTTTTCACCCTCAATTACTGGATAATGCCTAGTCCAGATTGGAAAGGGCCCATGATGGCAGACCATTTTACTCTGTCTGGAACATTGAGCATATTTTCTAAAAATTAAAGGCAAAAACTATTGTTTTACAGGCAATTTTTGGAAATTGCCTCAATAAATCGTAAATGTCCTGTTTTTTTACATTTTTTTTTTTTTTGAAGTGCTTAGGCAAGGGCTTCAAAAATGTATAAAATTTACCACAAGTCTACAACTACTTGCAGAATGCATCTACCTGGTAGGTTATTTCTCAAGCTGTAACTTGGGCTTGATTCAATTTTTTCATCTGCAAGATTCTTTCTAGATGAATTACCTCCTATCTAGTTATTACTAAAAGTGCACCATCAGGCCTCAAAATTTCAAATGTATTAAAAATTTGGCACTTTAGGGCCAGGAAGTTTCTGTAATAAATAGGAAAATTCCAATTCTGACCATGACCAGTTGACCACAGGCATTTTGATCTTATTCACAGATGAATTTTATTCAATTTTTCAAAATGAATTTTGTCCATTTCCATTTCTTTTGCCTAATTTCCCTATCCATGCCTAAGCCTACTTAATTTTGAAATAAAGTTAAAAGGCATACTATATATCATATGCGTTGCCCACACTCAGGATGATGTATGTTTTCGGTGAATTTTCCCATGCATTTTCACATTTTTTAAGCTATTGCTGTGCACAGTTGGCGCAATGTAATGAAAATTGATTATCTTCGCGCACCTGTTCACGCAATCCTGGCCATCTTTATTTTAGAAGAAATTTTCTCCAAAGTCATATGGCAACACTGAACACCATCTGTTTACATTTCGTATGTATAACAGCCACAGTTTACGATTACCGTACGTTCCGTATCCGACAAGGCGGACAACCGGAAGAGTCAGAAGTAACCCGGACATGTCTTACATTTTATTTTTGTCAGTTCGACTCGCGTAGTCAATATACTTGCGTATATTGTTGACTAAAATAGTAGAACTATTTTAGCTTTCTAAAGTACGGGCTCCCTCTGCGCCCTGGACGGCGCACGGCGCATTTTTTTACCAAAGTAGTACCTACGGCGCACCGCGCAGGTCGTTAAAATAACAAAATAAATTCCCGCGCACCTGGCACATCTTCCTGACCATGGTGCGTTGCCTTAACTTGCCTAGTAGGTACAATTTTAAACTTCATCTGTAAAATAATGGTTTTAAGTGATTAAATAGGGATTTTAAAAAAGAATATTATAATTAGAGAGAGAGAGACGTTTCCTATCGTCTCATATCTTTTAAATTTGGGTGACTCGGAGTGATCTACTCCACCAAATTTACGTTACGTTCAGGTTCAAGATACCGGTATTCATTACTTATCGTTTTGTCAGGTAGTCTGCCGAGTGGCAGTTGATTTGGCACGTGAATAAGGTTCTCTTTTTGGAAGCGTTACGGCAAAGAAAATACAAAGAGAGGGTTGAGTCTAGGTTTCTCGCGAGTCGCGACCGTCAATGTTCGAAACGACAAACCGCCGGCCTCACGGCCGCGGCCATTGTGTCTGCTGACTGCAGACCGTACGTGCGTGATGGCCACCTCCGTATATCCAACAACCCTTGGCGCCAAATCTGAGGTCCTTATATATGCTAGAGTCGCGCACACTTAAGCCTAACCCTCGCACTGACGCGCATTCTTTCGAATGGAATGTCCCTCGCAACGCTGAGCGTCAACGTTTCAATGTAAACAACCTTTCCCACGGTCTCGCAATAACGGCCCACATTCCTAGCATTCTTAACATCTACGCATAATACATGTTCAATATTACCTATGTTCAATTTTACCTACTTTATTCATAAGGATAATTAAAAATAATAAAAATAAATGGTTTAAAGTCTGACAAATATTCTGGATTTAACATAAAATATACACAGCACAATATAAGGGCTGGGATTAAGTAAATAAAGTGATAAAGTATTAAGTATGAACCATGAAGCATTCAAATTACATGATAGCCTACATTACCTTAGGACAAGAGCTACCCGACTCGCATCTGGTCCTTCTAGCTCTGTGAGCAAGTGACGCTCTGTATCAGTTATGCTGTCACTCATCATTTGACATTTGGAAAATTGGCAGACAGGAGACTAAGTGAAGAGTCAACTTAGTAAATTAAGCAAGTGATAGAATAAACTAAATTACATTAGCTGATTTGGAAATAGAGATAAGCACAATGACATTTGATTATTTCTTGAAGTTGATATATGATTTGAAATGCTCAATGTATCATCTGATAAACTTCAACAAACTTTAACAATGAGAATGAGCAGGTTCTGCTCCATGATGCAGACATAAAAACAAATTTACCAAACAATCCAAACATTGGACGAAATTAGCTATCAACTCAATCCGCCATCGCGGAAAATTTTGCAGATTTCAAATGACGCGATTGACAAGTTTCTTATATAAGTTAACATTAAATCATCAGAACAATACCAACAAAGCTTCAAATATGAATATATCGCTGATTGATATCTTCGGAGCCTTCCATTTTTAAATTCTGAAAACTCTATATAAATCTTAAGAATGGAATAAAATATAAATATAGAATAGAATAAATATAGAATATAAATCTTATATAATATCTGCAATTTTTTCACAACCATACCTGAAAGTTGGTCCCCAGTATTCGTCTATGGATTCGATCTCTCTCAAGAACAACTCGTGTCGTTCAGAAACTGCACACTCATCTTCACCACTGTTTCCTGCCATTGTGCAGAGAAATAATATGTTCACAAAGTCTGTCAAACTAATGCCATCGAAAGACTGAAATGGAATCAAACCCTTGATGAATGCACAGTTTGATGAATCTAATACAATAATACAGAACCAAATCAGGGTATTCCATTCAAAATAGAGAAAGTTCTCATCGAAGTCAAGTTGTCAACTCTCACTGTGGTGAGCTTTTTTTCTGTGCATTAAAGCAACAGAAACAATTGGCACTCATGAAAGCTTTAATCTTTAAAAATGTTATAGCTCACACATGATTCACAAGACAATTGAATATGAGGCAGAAAAATACGGACGTTTTGAATCGCAAACACATTCCAATACTTTCAAGAAAGCTTACAACAAAACTTCATAGACACAAAATTGATCGAACAATGTTCAGCTATTAAACGTGCGTTTCAAAAATGAGAAACAAAAAATAAGTTTGTGATTTGGCTCGATATATTACTAAATAACAAGTAACATGTAGATGAACTAAACTTTGCCACCTATACCGATTCAGGACACTTTCTTTCTAATAAAAAGCCAAAATCATGTTTAGGAAGCTACCGGATTCATTCAATAATGATTCAAGGAATATCGATTTACATGTAAAGAATTTGTAGCTCTTTCATGCCTCAAAAATTTCAAGTGTTTATCCAGCACTCAGGCACTCGGCTGTTCCCGGATCACACTGAAACCCGAACTGTGTTACCTGTTCGACAGGTGATAGAAGCCGCGTTCAAGTTAAATGTGAAACGTAGTTACCTTAAAATTTTTGCAATTTAAACGTTTGATATAGCAACTATAGCGCAACATAGAGATCTAATTTGGATTTGAGACATTATTAGATGAAAATCATCACTCATCGAGAGATATGAACTCAAGGTGTCAAATTCTCTGGATAGTTGACTGAACGTATCATCATTCCGTTTTCTATCCCTCTCCCCTCCTCCACCCTGCCCCTAACCACAATGTGTAGTGAGAACTTATCACCACCCATTTTATTTTATAAAATTACAAGTATCGACTAGATTTCAGCTCTTTGTAACTTTTTTTATTTCTAGCAAATGATGAGAGCGTGCTCTTTATTTGACGCCTAATTTGAAATCGGACCGCTGGTGTGTTTAGCATATGTGATTTATGCAAAAAACAACAATAAAGTTCTCATTATGTTGAGTTATTTGGAATATCATTTTGATATTCAAAATGTTTTACATTGATAGTGTTTAAAATTGATGCAAGTGCATTGTGATATCAAGGTACTGATGACACAACGAAAAAAAAAATATTTTGTAAATTTACATTTTCCGTGCCTACAGATGTAAACAAACGCTCCGATCACAATAAAATAATTTTATTTTTTATTGTAAGCGCAAATGTGTACTTGATGAACTGCCTGTAGCGAAGTCCAACTTGTGATTGCGACTTACACTTTTATCACGAAAATGGCTGTCTCAATTGCTGTTATTGGGAAGGACGTAAGTCAATTCAATCAGTTTCATCTATACATTTAAGCAATTGAGGACATTTTTTGTTGGGACAAGTCTACAGTTTTACCTTGGGAAATGATATAAATGCATATTTACCCCCTAGGGCCCTAGCAATCTAGAATTTTTTATATTGCTTGTGAAAAATTGTTTTAACCCAAAGTAGTTATATAATCTGTCCAAGGTTTCACTCACAGAACACAGTGACAGTACTGATAACAGAGCAGAGTAGTTGGAAACTTGGAATAATCTGCCCACAATAATCCACATTGGAAAAAAGTCTGAGCTCAGACAGGAGAACTAATTTGGAATATACTATTTTGAGTATTTTCCTAATTATGACTGATATATATTTGTTGATGTTGAAGCCAACTCAGCCAAAAGATTCTAGCTAGGCTAGATGACTAAATCTGTAATCGTCTATCTATCTTAAGTAAGAATCAGCTAGAGGCCTATGGCCTACTAAATGCTAAAACTGCTATACTATACCTAGTGATCCCTCAGTAGGCTCTAATTATGCAAACAAATGTCGTTGTCATTATTAAATATATAATCTAATTGATAATTAAACTATATATTTTACTATGATTTTAGCAATATAATTTGAAACTAAATCAAATATGTGATTTTGGAGTCCTATGATTTCAGATTTGAAATTAAATTTTGGATGGCTGAATAATAAAGGTATAAATTATTTATTTATACATGCAATTTTAGCCATTCCAAAGTTTGTACATAATTCTTACTGAGACCAACAATGAAAATTATCAATACTTTCTTTTAGAATTTATAAAAGTTAACTATAAAAAACAGGTTTTCTCTTGTTGGTTGTAAAGAAGTTTTTCATTTATTCCTGTCTGGTTCAGAGCTAATTCACAATTTGGCCCACTCTCAATGAGCCAAAGGTTGCCGCAGTACCGGTACCTGTGTTACCAGTAAATATTAAAATCACTTGTTTGCTTAAATTGCAAGTTAACTAGGAATTTAAAAGCAAAAACAATACCACAAAAATTCACCATATCTTTATAAGAGAAAACGTTTTGGAGTCCAGCTCCATCGTCAGTTCAGAAGAAGTTCAGATCTAGAAACACAAATACAATCAATTAGTAGAGTAAAAGGCACTGTTGGGTTTTAAAACGGACCTAACCTAAAACCTACTTGCACATCCACCTCATTCTGCTGTACGTGTTCATGCTGAACAGTGCAACACCTCTGTATCCGATAATGATTTTAAAGTTCTAGCTTCCGCATCCGGTGTTACTGATCTACGCATTTTAGAATCCCTATATATATTCAAGCAGAAGCCTAGTCTAAATGCTGGTTTTAGCTCTGTTCCTCTTGAAATAGTAAATAGATAGGCCGTTTACTAGCGTTAATTTCATGTCTTATTTATTTATTTTCCGTTTTAAAACCCAACAGTGCCATTTACTCTACTAATTGATTGTATTTGTGTTTCTAGATCTGAACTTCTTCTGAACTGAATTTTGTGAACTGACGATGGAGCTGGACTCCGAAACGTTTTCTCTTATAAAGATATGGTGAATTTTTGTGGTATTGTTTTTGTTTTTAAATTCCTAGTTAACCAGTAAATATTATATGCCATTAGTTTATTTTATTGCAAAACATTACTAACTGAGGAATAACTAAAGACAAAGTTGATTGTTCACTGGTGCAAAATGATTTTGTCTCGTATGAAATGCAGCTTTGCAGGACAAATTTTCAGTTTTTCTGATTGCATCCTTCCAGAGCAGTAAGATACTATGCTTTAGATATTAATAAAAATCATATATTTTTGATACATCATTTACATTTTCATCATTTGACTTTTGTTTCCAGAATGCTCCACTGTATATGTGGGTTGCTCCAGGACGGGATGAACTCAACCTCCAGTTTCTCTCCCACACTGCACTGGATATAATCCAGGAGAAAGTATCTCCTGCTAACAGAGCCCCAACAGACTCCAGGGAGCTCTATCTTGGACTGCTTTATGCTTCAGAAGAATATAAGATGTATGTTGGAGTATAAATAGAAAATTATTTTACCAGATGATGTTTATTCAACAGTCCCTAAAATCATTTGATTTTTTATGAAATCATTTATACTGGGCAAGTAAATTTATTTATAGTATAATACTTATGGCTCTGCAAAGCAGCTAGCAACAATAATGGGATATTATACCAGAATATTAATAAGTTTGGATAATTTTTGCAGGTATTGACAGTTTTCTTTCAGATTTTTGCTCAAGAAAGCCCCTATTTTAGGACTTAGGCTGAAAAAAGTTCATAGTAAACATTGGTGTTCAAACATTCTTTACATCACATTTTGTTGCAGATTTGGCTACATGACCAACACAAAAATAAAGCTGGTAATCATCACTGATGCTAGCAATACAACCCTCAGAGACAATGAGATCAGAATGGTATGTTACTTCAAAAACCATTTGGAATATTTTTTTTAATTTCAAATTTTCAATTACCTATTCATATTCAGCTGGATACAGATCTTTAAAGGTGCAGCCTTTGCTCTAAGCATCATTTTAATTTATTATTTTCCTTTCTATAAAATAATCTATAAAACTCAATTATCTAACAATTTTACTATCAACAGATGTTCCGCAGGCTTCATAATGCCTACACTTCTGCTGTGTGCAACCCTTTCTACAGTCCTGGAGATCCCTTGATTTCTAAGTAAGTCAATTTTTTTCTAGAAATGAATTTCTTTTTCAAAATCATAGTATAGTAACATTCACAATCTTTGTTTACATTTTTTTGTAGGTACCATGAAAAAATTTGTACTTAGTATTAATTTGAATCTAATTTTGATTATAATGAATAAAGCTATTCTTAATTGTTAGAATTAATTAGAATTACAAATTTTATCTGTATGTGTGTTTTCTTATTTTTTTGCTTTCATCATTTTGTGTTGTTAAAATTTTTTTTGTTGTGTTTGTTTCATTTTCAAATCATTCAAATGTGTTTATCAAATCAAGCTTGGTAGTTTCAGAAATAACCTAATTAGATTATTATCATTTGTGTTTTTTTTTCAGGAAGTTCGAAGCGAGCGTTGGTGCTTTAGTTTCTGGAAACTGAGGTGCAACTCCCATTTGATACTCAAAGAAAATGTTTGTGGTCTCAAGTCCCTATGACCATCGTGAAATAGTTTTTTAAGCTTTAATTAATTGAATTGTTTAAATATCGAAATGCTGATTTGCTCACGTATCCAATTTATTGACTAGGTACCGTACTTATTCTATTTATCACAAACCTATAATGTTTTTAATATTCTTCTACAATTTGAACCATTTTGCTGCACATTCATATTTTGTGAGAATATATGAGTGAAGTAATTCTTCTGCATTATTAATTGATAACGTTTTCTAATATGTTTCAGTTTTTGAATTGTTTACATCGAACGTTCATTTATGTTAATAGCAACTACTTTTTCATGTCATATTGTGACTTATTGAAATATGATTACATTGAAGCATCAAGTTTTTAGAGTTTCGTTGTCGACTTCATTCAATATTTTGAACTAAAGCTTGTCATATTTCCAGTGTATTTCATTTAATTCCCTCGGAATAATATTTTACAGTAGCTTAACACTTTGACTCCAATTGCTCCATCTTGTACTATTATTTCATTTTTTGTACAATTTTTAAACAGGGTTGCCAGACGGTCATTTTTTTCCGGACAAATTCCGTGATTTAGTTTTTCTCAGTTGCGTTGGCCGGCTAAAATTTATGATAGGGGTGCTTCCTGATTAAATTTTTAAATAATGCAAAAAGAAAATAAATGGAATTTTTATGGCGGAACCTACAAATAAACTAGAATATTATGAGCTATCGGCCTTTTTTATTCTCGGATTTGGCCGATTTTAGGCAACCTGAATTATGTACCATTACGTCCTGGAGAAATACATTTCGTGGTACGCATATGTACCACTTCGTAGTCAACGTGTTAAACCTTTTTTACGTTGATCAGTTTCGAATTATAGTTAACAATAGAATTGAAACCGGTATTACTTATGATCAATTCCGTCACTCCATTGAGTGACGACTTACTACTGTAAATACCACAAACTGACGACGTAATGTTGACGTACTAGTACTTTATTCTCACTGACGGCTGGCTTTTATTTTCCTTTTCACTCGCTATTGACGTATTATTGTGGATATTTACTGCCAGCTGGCGTTTTATTTTCTTTTTTACTCGCTGTTGACCTAATATTTTATATTCACTGGCAGCTGATTTATTCCGCTTCATATATTGCTATCAATTTATTCTTTCGTGCAAGGGTTGGCGGTGTTTTGTTTTCATTTTTTAACGCCTGCTGCAGTGCGCTTTTTATATTTAGGGAGAGTAGATGTATAATTTTCGTATTCACGCGCTGCTGATGTTGATGTAGCATTTTCTTTTTTATTCGCGGCTATAGTTGATTTTATTCCCTACACACTATTGGCTAGGATATTCACGTTATGCTGCTACATCATCATTTAATTAGCGTGTTGCTGGCGTACCATTATCATGTTCACGCGCTGCTGAAGTAAAATTATTTTTATCGGCTGCCCGAGTAATATTCATGACTACGTAGATGAAGTATCCACCGTCTTTCGAATGACTGAAGTACAAGCAAGTGTATAACGGGTGATCAAATGTTTAATCACCTTTTCACTTTGTACTTTAGCTGTTCTTCACACGCATGAGAGAAAAATTGTTCACCTTACCACTTGTGACGCGAATCCAACTTTTTTTCTCACGCATAACAGAAATGTATCTTACTTTGTCACTAGTGGCACCAAAATTACTTATATTGTCAGGTTTGACCTAAGCATTAAGCAGCACAATAGCAGGAATAATAGTTTCACTACAATCATGCATTTGTTTCCAATTTATCCTTTATAGTCAGGAAGACAACTTCCAAACGATTATGTTTATAACTAAAAATGTGCATCATTTTCAGGTGTGCAACATAGAGATAAACGCACTAGAATGTTGAAGCTTTATGGTTTGGTTGAGAAGAAGTTCGCTGGCTTGGTGGATGTAGAAATTATGTTAATATTTTATATCATTGTTAACAAAATTGCACAATTTATTCATATATGATCACTTCGTTCTTTCGGTATCGTATTAAATTAGGACAACTGAATTTTGCTGCTGAATGAAGTGTAAACTGCTTCACTTCCAAAATTATTGGCATTAATTTTTGGTGCTTTATGAATAAGGACTGGGACGCTGAGAACTATTTCTGCTGAAAAATAAGCATTCAATCTTTTCTCCTTTGGTAGTAGGAAACCTGAATATTTCGCACTCGATCGCTTATATCTGAGTAGTGAGCCCATATGTACTTTATAGCTCTCTCATAGTAGTAAAACGCCGGCACATTCTTAAACAAGTCGTTTTTACAAGTCGTTTACATTCGAGTTGTTAAGACCCTATATAAAATTCACTAAATCGATTGTTTTTTTGTGGTAAAGAGCAACAATAATTTGCACGCCATCGTTTGCCCTGTGTAATGAAGAGCCTAAATATCATTTAATAAATCGTTCATCGCGGTGACATAAAAAACCGTAATAATCTGCACTCGATTTTTTTGTCTCTTGGCAGGAAAAGGCCGAAATAATAATTTTCCAAATTGTTTACCTCTATGTAATAATGGGCTCAGCTATTCCGGATTCAAGTGCACAGCTTGTGAATAATGTCAGGGTTAAATTAATCGTACGTTAGGGTAGCGTTCATGCGAAGCCCGCTCGATATGCAGACAAAGTATGGATAGAAACCAAACAGAGCTCGCTCGATGTTGAGACAAATTATGAAAGAAAACCAAACAGAGCGCGCTCGATGCGGAGATAAAGTACGAATAAAAACCAAACAGAGCTCGCTCTATGTAGAGGTAAAGTGTTAATGACAGCTTTTCAAAATCGCTCCGTGTAGACGCTAAGTATTAATAGAAGCTTTACATAACTGTAAATTATAAGTGGAATCTTGACAAAGCGAGGACGATGTAGAGGTAAAAGATAAATTGAAGCTACAGAGAGCGCGTTCAATGTTGAGGAACTTTTGGAAAGCTCGCTCGATGTAGAGGAAGCTATACTAGCTCGCTCGATATGGAGCAAGTTTAAAGGAGCTACGTGATGTTGAACAAACTTTACAGAGCTCGCTCAATGTTGAATAATTTTTACAAAGCTCGTCCGATGTTGAGTAATCTTTACATAACTCGCCTAATGTTGAATAAGATTTACATCGCTTGCCTAATGTTGAATGATCTTTACATAGCTCGCAAAACGATGAATAATCTTTACATATAGCTCGCCTAATATTTATATTTATTATTTACAGAGATCGCTAAATGTTGAATAAAGTGTACATATCTCGCCAAATGTTGAATAATCTTTACAGAGCTCGCCCAATGTTGAATAAGCTTGACAGAACTCGTTTTATATCAAGGAAGCTTTAAAAAGCTCGCTCGACGTTGAGATAGAGCACGTTTGTGAGCTGTTCAGGGCTCAGTGTGTCTTCATACAACTCGTCCAAGTGTGCCAACGCATTATTGCGTCTTTGTCCGGCGTTCTAAAGTGCAAACTTTTGTAATATTCTTGCGAATATGGATCAATATTCTGGTCCATTTGGATGCTAGGGGCTCAAGCTTCTTCAAAGGAGAATTTATCGCTGAGCTAACACACTATGAGGAGCTTTCAGGTCCCGCCAGACGATAATATCAAGCGTCGAACGTCTAGATTTATTACTTTCTGGACCCGAGTTTGGTAAGGCCAATTTAAATATAAAATTAAGTAAGGTAAGGCCAATGTAAATATGTTTGGTATGGCCAAGGTTTGGCCATATGTTCGGGCTATATATTTGGTAAGACCAATGTTTGGCCATTTGTTTGGGCCATATGTTTGGTAAGGCCAATATAAATATGAAATTAAGTAGGGTAAGGCCAATATAAATATGAAATTAAGTAAGGTAAGGCCAATATAAATGTTTCTTAAAGCCAAAGTTTGGCCAGTTGTTTGGGCCATATGTTTGGTAAGACCAATGTTTGGCAAGGCCATACGGAATTTGATAAGGCCAATTTAAATATAAAATGGAATTTCAAGGTGCAGGAAATTGAGATTATAATTACGTAGTAACTTCGAATGCAGAAGTTGGGGTTAATTGTTGTGAGACTGATTAAATTTTAGCTTCTGAGATAATTAAGATTTAATTGCAGAAATGTTGGTTGGCAAGGAAAATGATTAGAATAAATGCGGAAGTTGATTTTAAGCTTGCCGTTTAGTTTATGAATGGGAATTTAGTGTGAATTATATCGTTGCTTTGATGTGTACAAGATATCAAATCAAGTTTTGCATCGAAAATTAAGGATTGTAGTGAATAAATTATTGAAATGAATGAACAGGAAATGATGTTTCCAGAAAATATTCAGATTAATTATTAAAATAATGTCTATCACCTTAGTCGCAATTAACTGAAAAATGATTGTAATTAATGGTAATCTGTTTTATGGTATCCAAGAAGCAAATGAAAATATTCAAAGTAATTCTTCCTGATTTTGAAAATAATTTTCGAAAGGTGATGATTACTAAATCCAATTGTGTTTTATCTACCTGTTTTTCTTCGTCCGGATCACAAAGCAAATACAGTAGGCACCCCTCATTTGTTATTCCATCAACAGGGCCGTAAAAACAAGAGATTGTTTTCGTGTTCTCGGCAAGTTTTCAGTTCATGAAATCTACGTCAACCTAAATAAAAGGTTATTCGAGGTGACGTAGATTTCCCGAACTTTTACTGGGACTTTTTAGTGTAAACTTTACCATGAGGGTTGTTTGTGAAGTTGACTGGGTTATAGTTTGTGCATTAGGTTCAATTTGATAAATATGCAATATCGTATTACTTGGAAAATAAGAAACGTGCATATCTGAATATTAATTGCGGTCGGATTTAAAATTGTTAAAATTTTTCGAGTAATGAATCGTATTTAAATCTAATATCGTTCCTCATTCTTCTTGTTTCTTCTTTTCTACATTTTCGTTAAACCTAAACACGCAATGAATCAAACAGATGTGTAGAAACTTTTAGGAAACGAGAATTCAGGTGCATTAAAATTTTCTATCTTCTACTGCATTTACCTTTCATCGCTTTAATAGTATGTATTGAATGACACAGTCGAGATGCCTGCACGATTTTACTCGATTTATCATAAACTCTTCATTGCTAATGGCTGAAATAATGGATTTTCAATACGTACATCCAACACCTTCATTTGTGTACACCAACACTAGCGTTAAAAATTTTCTTTGAACAGTCACCCTCTGCATTCATATGCACCTGCACTTGCATGAAACCTAATAAAATTTCCAAATAAAAATGTTTTCCCATTTTTCAAGACTGTCAAGATGTTTTGGAACGAATTCCCTCATGTTTCGAGTTCACATTTAACCCTCTAAGCTCAAGGTGTCAACAGTTTTTTTTACTTTTTAACTTTTTGAAGTTAAAATATCCATGTGCTTATTAAAACAATAATGTACAAATATGGTATAGGATTGTTATGTGAACAGAGAAAAGCATTATGTTTTACCGGAATCTAACTATGGCCTTAAATCCTTACGAACCTTAACTTACGCATAAACTAGATGATTAAATTAAATACATTTTGTACATTTTATTATTTTAAAAGCATTTCCAACGTGAAAGTGACGTTTTTTCAGGAATTAGAGTGAGTCATGGCATGTACGTGGCACAGATAATTCAAGGATAAGTGTGACTCATGGCATGTACGTGGCACATATAATTCAAGGATAAGTGTGACTCATGGCATGCACGTGGCACATATAATTCAAGGATAAGTGTGACACATGGCATGTACGTGACACATATAATTCAAGGATAAGTGTGACACATGGCATGCACGTGGCACATATAATTCAAGGATAAGTGTGACTCGTGGCAGGTACGTGGCACATATAATTCAAGGATAAGTGTGACTCATGGCGTGTACGTGGCACATAATTCAAGGATAAGTGTGACTCATGGCATGTATACGTGGCACATATAATTCAAGGATAAGTGTAAGTGTACGTGACACATATAATTCAAGGATAAGTGTAAGTGTACGTGACACATACAATTCAGGGATAAGTGTAAATGTAAGTGGCACATATAATTCAAGGATAAGTGTGACTCATGGCATGTAAATGACACATATAATTCAAGGATAAGTGTGAGTCGTGACACGGAGCCTTGAGTGCGATGAATTGTGCCCGAGGTATCGACTGAATTGTATATTGTATGAAGGCTGCAGATCATTACGCTTTGTTCATGACTTTGCTGCTGTTTTTATTTATTCAGACACGACCTAAACAAGGTCTAGGACTGCGGAATTACTGCCACGTGGAAGAAATGTAATTAATTTTAGGATAATTTTTATGCTCTATGAGAATTACGTAGAATGTGAAGAAATGCGTTGAGAAAAATGGGAATAATTTTTCCGAATAGCGATGCGCCTTCTTTCGCTAAATGGGTCATTCCGATCCGGTTTGGCCCGGAAAAATGGCTTATCTTATCAGCTTTACGACCGCTTTATCTTGTATTGCTAGTAAATAATTTTACATTATTTGTACAATGTGACCCATTTATTTTTCTTGCTGTTGGTTGACTTATAGGTATGGGTAGATGGAAGAAAGAAAAACCGTCTGTTCTCATTGGCTGAGCCCCGGCCAATCATACATAAGATGTATAACTTTATCCCTTGTAATTCTGTTTTAAAATTTATATTATTTACTGATAGCTCACAATGATATTAGCCACAGCTCAAAGATTAACCATTGTTTGAAATTTGTTGAACCAAAAAGATACTCATATTTTGCTAAATAAAACTAGTGGTGGCGAAACTTGGGGTTCTAAATTGAAAAATATTGCAGAACTTGGCGATAAAAGTTGCTCGACATTTCTGAGGCGACCTATGCTGCTAATGAAAAGATTTTGTTTGAACTTCAAACTATTTCGTTAATGAACGAAAAATGTGTATATAACCTGTCAAGATTAGCTATGCCATCAAAAACAATGTACAGAACTTAGGAGGTGAGTCACCTATATATGGTTTCATTCGTAGCATAAATTCTTCATTTTAACCAATATAAAACTGTCAAATGAGACTGAATCAAATCAATTTCATTCGTGGCGGAATTTGCCCTTCATAAAATAGTAATTACCTGATAATTAACATTATAAACAGTAAAAAAGTACATCCTGGTAACTCAGTCTATAATAATCGGTTATTAAAATGTCGGAAGCCATATCCCAGTGAAAATTTACAGACGCGGCAGCTTCTGATTTGGATTACCAGAAGCTGGGGCGACTCTAAATTTTGTTACCAGAAGCTGGGTCGACTCTAAATTTTGTTTGTGATGTATGTAGAAGACTGGCAGGCTCCAGCCTGGCCCTGCCGCTGCATTACACGCAGGGGGATCGTAAAAAAATGCATCTAAGATTAAGTCCTGTATTGGCTTGGGGTTAGGGACTTGTGGTAAGGAACTTTTCGTATGGGACCTGTGCTAAGGGACTTGTGGTAAAGGACTTGTGGTGAGGGACTTATTGAGGACTTGGGTGCGGTCAATATTATCATGTGCGATGTGGTTGCATTCGTGGCACCCATCGAACATGTTCGATGGGTGCCGCATGTGTGGCGCAAATCAAACATGTTTATCTGTGACGACCTCCACTATGTTCAGCAATATCACCGTCAAACGATGTTCATTAGTGTTCAGTATTCAGTGTTCATCAAAGTTCAGTGTTCATCAGTGTTCAGTGTTCATCAGTGTTCAGTGTTCAGAGTTCACCAGGGTTCAGTGTTCATCAGAGTTCAGTGTTCAGTGCTTAGAGTTCTTAAGTGTTCAGTGTTCAGTGTTCAGTATTCAGTGTTCATCAAAGTTCAGTGTTCAGTATTCATCAGTGTTCAGTGTTCATCAGCACGCAGCAGGATCGATGGCGAAATAAATAATGGCCTCAGCCAGCAGCGTTGCTGTGCAGACGCTCCTTTATTGTGTGGTGAACTGGCGAGGTGTGAAGGTGTGTAATTTTTAGTGAACTGTGTGATGTGTGGTGTGTAATTTTTAGTGAGCTGTGTGATGTGTGATGAGCTGTGTGATATTTGGTGAGCTGCATGGGATTGTACGGAAACCTTACCTACTGAGCCCAAGCGTGATACGAAGATTAAAGGATTGAATTATAGATTCAGCTAAAATTTCGCGCTGGAGGTAAAAATTGTACGAAAATTGTACCAGGACGAAAATTTAGGCGAATAAGCTTGTCCATTATATCGTGATAATAATAGTGATGTCAGTATTCATCAGACCAAATATTGACTGTCGCCGATTCATGACATCGTAAAATTCTCGCATCTTGCTGAGCTTCGAACCCGAAACTCACTGCCTCAATCATGTTCTGCTTAACCGCAGGTCGCCTCTTCGATTTTGACCAGAACTGTCACAGGAAGCTGGGATCGAACCCACAACTCCCCGCTGTAATCCTTGTTCTGCATTGGAGTGATGATTAATACCGAATGTAAGTTTTACGACTGCATAACTTCAGTGATAGACAACGACTAGGATGAATCTGGCATGCGTTTTCACACAAAGTAGGCGGTACCGATGAATATCCTTTTTACATAACATAAAATAGCGATGTCGATGCTGAAGAGTAGGCCTGATGTGGCCTGTCGCTGATTCTTGTACTTTTCGTGCCATGTTCACAGAAGATCCAAAAGCATATCCTTTCACCGGATTTTTTTAAGAATGACGAAAGTTTGAAGTAGCTTCTAGACTTCCACCGGGTTCGTTATGGTGCTAGGCATTTCAAATTTGAACATATATTTCTCCATAGCTTTATCTATAGCCTTTTCTTGAACGCATTTATAATCGGAGCGTCATAAATGCTGTCAGGGAGGCTGTTTTCCCCTTGTGCTCACTCTTCTGAATCCCTCTCTCTTTTTGCTCGCATTTTTGTTAGAATTGGTTTCCGTTTGAAGTGGGCGCAGTGGCAGTCAAGCGCCCTTTCAGAGTAGGATTGCTCAGAGTAGGATTGCCGGCAGGAGCTAAGGCTACTGAGGCTTTATCCTGCGCACTGAATAATGGGGCGATATGTTGTCCTGTACACGTGAGAACTGGCGACCTGATAAGCGCCGAACTTTGACAACGGAGATTGTTGAGTGTGATTGTGTTGAATTTTCGTGTGTTGAATGTGAGTGTTACGTGTGTGCGTATGTTTATTTTACGTGTATTGAGTGCGTGTTTGCGTGTCGTAAGTGTGCGTGTCGTGAGTGTGCGTGTCGTGAGTGTGCGTGTCGTGAGTGTGCGTGTCGTGAGTGTGAGTGTCGTGAGTGTGCGTGTCGTGAGTGTGCGTGTCGTGAGTGTGCGTGTCGTGAGTGTGCGTGTCGTGAGTGTGCGTGTCGTAAGTGAACAATTGACCTAATCAATGCAAGTTGCAAGTCTTTGTTAATGATTAACGAGACCTTGCACCTTCTCCCAGGCTATCATAGATTCTCATGCTCATATCATTGCCATATAACTTAAAAATGATAATTATCAGAGCAATCAATTCTGAATATTTTTAAATAATGATTTGGCAACGTCGAAATTCATTTAAATTAAGTGTTCAGCTATTGGTAGCTTGTCTTTACTGTCGTGTGACTGAAGGACAACTGAACATCGGTAAGTTGACATTATTAATAAATAATTATTAATTGTATTCTATATCTTCAGGAAACATTTAAAAATGTTTACCTAATCCATTTATGAAACTGATGTAACGTATGGCTTGATTTTGTTAGAGAATACTCATCCTATCGAGACTATTTTATATATCAGAAAATTTGAATTTGAAACTTACATTTTTCTTAAAATTTAGGAATTATATCTACAATGCTATGCTGCAATAATTTCCATAACCAATAATCCTAAGAAGCACATTTTCAACTGTTATGAGAAAGTTTCTTCCCGGTGCTCATTTAACCTATAACAAAAAATTTTAACGTAGTAACCTCCACAGTCTACATGCGATAGTTTTATATGTCGCAATTCTTTACCTTAGATTTATTTAAATTTGCTGACAGTAGCACTGATGAATATAGCGGTTCAATGTTATTCAATATTTCTTACATACTGCTAGTTTTTTTTTCCTTTCAAACTCTTTACAATATAATTAATTATTAAATACTTTCATTTTAACGAACCACTTTTACGTAAATAGATATTGCATGATACCCAGTGGCTCGTACGGTTTTCACCGCACAATATCACTAAAGATTTGATACAAAGAGGGTTGGTTTTGTTCGATATGAAACTCTTTACACTGCAGTTGATTATGCGCGAAGTGCTTTGTGTTTTATGTCCATTACACGCAGTGTCTCCGATAGTTCTGAACGCTCATTATCATTGAGTATCATTTAAATGGTGCTACTTTTTTGCGCTTCACGCTAAAGTTGATTATTGTTACAACGTATTGGTTATGTTTGATCTGAAACTCTCTACACTTAAGTTGATTATTTTCGATTAAAAGAATATTTCGTTATATGCATTTTCAACAACGGTTCTATATACTCATTATCACAGAAGGTCTGTTACATTGCATGGTTCTCGGTTCCTTGAATCTCCTTCGGAAGCGAACCGTTTTAATTATTCACAGGAACGTCAGGTATGCTCGCTTCAGCTATTCAGAGTCCGTCAGTCTGAACGCTCGTTACTGAACGTCTGAAGTGAACATGAATTGCTGCCTCAAACTCTGCACACAAGAGAGGCGAATGTTCGTTCTAGCCCATGTTCTCATTTTAACGGGCGTTATTAAGCACGGTTTATTGTCAACTGTTATTGGATGTTTCCATTTGTTTAAAATAAGTAATTTGCAGCTCATATTAACGGGCTTTATTAATTAAGCAAGGTTTATTGCTAACTGTTATTGGTTGTTTATATTTATTTGAGATAATGAATTTGTAGTTGAGTGATTTGTAGTGATTTGAGTATTTATTAGTGATTCAGAATAAATAAAAATACTACTCAAGTAAGCAGTCAATAATTATATCTAGCTTTAATGACATGTTTTTTGAATGCCTGCCAATCATTAATTGAACGTTAATTAATAATTATTCGAATGGTATTCAAGTGTTTAGTGAAATTTTTTTTTGAAATCGTATTACATTAATTAAATGTTCATCAAATTTGCATTTAATTGTATTCTTACCTCTATTAAATAGTAAATAAATTGAAACAGTCCTGATAATTCTAATTATATATACTGATAATTTTTTCCAAGTCTTACCTCTACTAAATAAATAATTTGTAATAGTCATAATAATTATATTTACTGATAATTTTTCCCAGTCTTAGCTCTACTTAATGGTAAATAATTCATAATAGTCATAATAATTATATTTACTGGTAATTTTTTCGCAGTCTTACCTCTACTAAATGATAAATAATATTTAATAGTCACAATAATTATATTTACTGATAATTTTTTCCAAGTCTAACCTCTTCTAAATGATAAATCATTTTTAATAGTCATAATAATTATATTTTTCTGGAAATTTTTTTCGCAATCTAACCTCTACTAAATGATAAATAATTTTTAATAGTCATAATAATTATATTTACTGATAATTTTTTCCCAGTTTTAGCTCTACTTAATGATAAATAATTTATAATTGTCATAATAAATATAATTATATTTACTAATAATTTTTTCGCTGTCTTACCTATACTAAATGATGAATAATTGTTAATAGTCGTAATAATTTAAATTGTATTCATATGATCATTTAATTGTATCCTTACACTACTAAATGATAAATGATTTTTAATAATCATAATAATTACAATTATATTTACTGATAATTTTTCCCAGTCATGCCTCTATTAAATGGTAAATAATTTTTAATAGTCAATAATTATATTTACTGATAATTTTTTCGCAGTCTTACCTCTACTAAATGATAAATAATTTTTATTAGTCATAATAATTATATCTACTGATAATTTTTTCCCAGTCTTACCTCTACTAAATGATGAATAATTTTTAATAGTCATAATAATTATATTCACTGATAATTTTTTCGCAGTGTTACCTCTACCAAACGATAAATAATTTATAATAGTCACAATAAATATAATTATATGTACTGATAATTTTTCACAGTAAGCATCGCGGACGAGAGCCTCCAACAAGCAGGAGCATGGCTGGCCGCCGGTGTGGCCGCGGCAGAGGCGGCCACCTCTACCAAGATCGCCCTCGATGTCCTTAAAATATCCATTGAGGACGAAACCTCGGCTGAGAACCAGCGTCAGTTAAGAACATTATGATTTAACGTATACTGTAATATTATTATTATTTGCACATATTATTATCAAATATGTGAATTATTTACATATTATTTTTTCTTAATACTACAACTACAATTTTTATCATTACTATTTTAAATACTATTATTATTATAATTCACACAATATTATTATTACAATTTCGTAAATCATACGAAATATTATGTTAAGAAATGCATTTTTAACATAATTCGTACGAATATAATTCGATTCCTAGGTTTATACACGTATTACTATTATTATTCACACAAGATTATTGTTATTATTTCGGAAACGGAAATTATACTAAAAATTATGTGAATGAATATATTATTTTGAGCATATAAACTACGAAATTTATTCACATACACAAAACCGGGGTCAATTGCAATGTACAGTCAGAGAAATGAGAAGTCTCTGTCCAAATTGTGATCTAATTTTTGTCCTTATGCGAGCTATTCTCACCCAGTTTCGTTCGAAAAAAGAGCTAATTTGTGCTATGTTCAAAAAGTGGGTCAGTATTTGGACCGTATTACCAATCATTTCTATGATTGCTTTTTTTATATAGTTTGCAGCGCGCTGTTCATTTTTTATTGCACATTTCCATAGTTTGCAGCGAACTATTAATTTTTTTTGCTCTTTTCACATAGTTTGCAGCGCGCTGTTCATTTTTGTATTGCATTTTTTCCTATAGTTTGCAGCGCGCTGTTCATTTTCTAATTGCACTTATCACTTAGTTTGCAGCGCTCTGTTTATTTTTTGATTACATTTTCCCATAGTTTGCAGCGCGCTGTTCATTTTTGTATTGCATTTTTTCCTATAGTTTGCAGCGCGCTGTTCATTTTGTATTGCACTTTTTACATAGTTTGCAGCACGCTGTTAAATTTTTTCTTGCATTTTTCCCATAGTTTGCTGCGCGCTGTTCAATTTTTATTACACTTTCCCATAGTTTGCAGCGCGCAGTAAATTTTTTATTTTACTTTTCCCCTAGTTTGCAGCGCGCTGTTCAATGGGGTGTCGGGGGTGTTGGACGTGACAGCGGGGGGGTGGGAGTACGCTAAGCACGCTGCTGCACGTGTAGGAGCGCCCTACGTGCACGGGCAGGTCGGCATCACGCAGCACGTGCACGCAGTAGACGACCTGCTCCACAACCGGAACGCTACCGACGCTGCGCTCATCTTCACTACTGAGGCCGGTGAGTTGCTGCGACTGTTTGTGTGTTTGTAAATAAAAGAGTTTGGGAGTTAAGGATTTTGGAAAAATCAAGATTACGAATATTCAGGGTTTGAGAAATCGAGATTACGGAAATTAATGATTCGGGAAATTCAGGATTTTGGGAATTCAGGATTTTGGGAATTCTGGATTTTGGAAATTCTGGATTTTGAAAATTCACAATTTTGGAAATTCAGGATTTTGAAATTTAAGGATTTTGGAATTTCAAGATTTTGGAAATTTAGGATTTTGGAAATTCGGGAGTTTGAAAATTCTGGATTTCGAAAATTCAGGATTTTAGAAATTCAGGATTTTAGAAATTCAGGGTTTTGGAATTTTAGGATTTGGGAATTCAGGATTTTAGAAATTCAGGATTTTAAAATTTCAGGATTTTATAAATTCAGGATTTGGAAATTCATGGTTTTAGATATTCAGGATTATGGAAGTTAAGGCATTCGGAAATTCCTTCATTTTTAAATTCGAAATTTCAAAAATCCAGGATTTTGTAAATTCGGGATTTTAGGAATTCGGAGCTTTGGAAATTTAAGGTTTTGGAAATTCCAGATTTTGTAAATTCCTGATTTTTAAAATTCATGGATTTGACAGTACGTGGGTTTGAATGTTAATTGATTTAAAAATCATGGGTTGGACGATAATTGGACTTTAACAAATCATGTGTTTGAAAATCATTACATCTTTATTATTAATTTTAACCTAGACACCTCTTGGTAATCATCCGATGCTACCTTTTACCTACACACTTTTTACATATTTATACCCTATATATTATTCCTCACAACTCTTACTACTAATTATCCCATAACTTCTCTTACCTATCACCCCTATACCCATTGTACCTAATACCCCATACCCATGCTATCTACTGTATTACTCCACACCTGTTACTACCGATTGCTCCACACCTGTTACTACCTATTGCTCCACACCTGTTACTACCTATTGCTTCACACCTGTTACTACCTATTGCTTCACACCTGTTACTACCTATTGCTTCACACCTGTTATTACCTATTGCCCCACACCCATTATCCAACTACACCAATTTGCCATTTCAGAGCTGGACCAAGCCCTATACCACTTTTTGGGCAGTAGTAGCGTACTGGTCATCGGGCTGGTAGTTCTTACCCTAAACCTCTTACTACTAATCACCCTATACCCTTTGCTACCTTTCACCCTCCTCTTACAACCCATTACCCATTGACAGTGTCGTGCGTGTCATCGTGCTGCTGGGGCTACCCAATACCCTACACGGCCTATTATCTATTCCCCTTATAACCTATTACGCCACACCTTCCATTACCTATTAACCCCATTACCGAGCTGGACCAACGCTTCTATCACCTGGTGGGTGGCAGCAGCGTGTGTGTCATCTTAATATTGCCCCACACCCCACACTACCCATTACCCTATTACCCAGTCTTCCTATTACCACCACCCATTACCCATTACAGAGCTGGACCAAGCCCTCTATCACCTGGTGGGGGGCAGCAGCGTGCGCGTCATCGTGCTGGTAGGGCTGGGCAGCAACAGCACCGCAGCCCTGCGCAGGATGCGGCCTGCGCCGGCCTACTACGTCATCTTCGGCAGCGGCAGCGACGCGGCACAGCTCTTTGACCAGGTCAGGGTCTTTGACCAGGTCAGGGTCTTTGACCAGGTCAGGGTCTTTGGCCAGGTCAGGGTCTTTGGCCAGGTCAGGGTCTTTGGCCAGGTCAGGGTCTTTGGCCAGGTCAGGGTCTTTGACCAGGTCAGGGTCTTTGGCCAGGTCAGGGTCTTTGGCCAGGTCAGGGTCTTTGGCTAGGTCAGGGTCTTTGACCAGGCCTTTGATCAGGTCTTTGATAAGGTCTTTGATCAGGTCTTTGACCAGGCCTTTGATCAGGTCTTTGATCAGGCCTTTGACCATGTCTTTGATCAGGTCTTTGATCAGGTCTTTGATCAGGTCTTTGATCATGTCTTTGATCAGGTCTTTGATCAGGTCTTTGACCAGGTTTTTGACCAGGTCCGGGTCTCTGACCAGGTCAAGGTCTTTGACCAGGTCTTTGGCCAGGTCAGGGTCTTTGGCCAGGTCAGGGTCTTTGACCAGGTCAGGGTCTTTGACCAGGTCAGGGTCTTTGACCAGGTCAGGGTGTTTGACCAGGTCAGGGTCTTTGACCAGGTCAAGGTCTTTGAGCAGGTCTTTGATCAGGTCTTTGGTCAGGTCTTCGATCAGGTCTTTGATCAGGTTTTTGACCAGGTCAGGTTCTTTGACCATGTCAAGGTCTTTGACCAGGTCAGGGTCTTGACATGGTTAAAGGTCTTTGACCAGGTCTTCAACCAAGTCTTTGACCAGATCAAGTACTCTGACCAGGAAAGGTTTTTGACCAGGGAAGGTCTTTGACTAGGTCTTTGCCCAGATATTTGACCAGGGAAGGTCTTTGACTAGGTCTTTGCCCAGGTCTTTGCCCAGGTATTTGACCAAATCTTTGATCAGGTCTTTGACCAAGTTTTTGACCAGATCATTGACCAAGTCTTTGACCAAGTCTTTGACCAGGTCTTTGACAAAATCTTTGACCAAGTCTTTGACTAGGTATTTGACCAGGTCTTTGGACAGATCTTTGACCAGGTCTTTAGCCAGGTCTTTCACCAGTTCGTTGACCAGGTCTTTGACGAGGTTTTTGACGAGATTTTTGACCAGATCTTTGACCAGGTCTTTGACCAGGTCTTTGACCAGGCCTTTGACCAGGTCAAGGTCTTTGAACAGGTCTTTGACCAAGTCTTCGACCAAGTCTTTGGCCAAGTCTTTGACCAAGTCTTTGGCCAAGTCTTTGACCAAGTCTTTGGCCCAGTCTTTGACCAGGTCTCTTTGACCAGGTCAACAGATATTAGTGTAAGATAATTTACATCATTTCAAGGGGCATGAGTGGTCGTAGTATCAAAACATGTTACTGTAAATAGTTATACCATAAATTTTTATTAATTTACGAACTCGCGATAACAATTATACTAGAACTCGGATTGAACTACTGGACCAGCTAGGTCAAGTGGGTGAATAGGGTATTAGTGGTATTGGGGTACATAAGGATATTACAGGGTTTTACTATGATACTATTGGTTAAAAATAGTTGTACTATCAATTGAATGCATAATGATAATTATAATAAAACTTGGAAGGACTGCTGGACCATGTGGAGGGGACCCACTTACTCAGATAATTACCTTGATAAGTATGATAATTATTTATTCCTGTACAGGCAATTATTCAGATAATTACCTTAATAAGTCTGATAATTATAAATTAACAAATTAATTAATTTATACATTTATTCCTGTACAGGCAATCACTCAGAACTTCGTAACTCGAGACTCCCGCTGGACGGTCGCCATCACAGGAACGGACCCGCAGAACTTTGTGTGAGCTTAATAGTTTAATTACATTATTTCATATTATTCGTTGTTTTAATTTATTAATTTATTCTACTTATTCTTTAATTCTTAACTCTATTTTATTAAATTCTTTAATTTATTCGCGCATAGAACTCTTACGCCAATTTTATTAGGAAATTTATAAAGCATACCGCGTTAGTTGAGAAAATTAATAATATCATAATTATCTCAATAATTAATTAATTAATTAATGTTGTTGACAGCTCTAAAGCGATGCCCAGTGGCACCACAGTCACCATCATGAGTCCTGCTGCGGAGAACTGCTGTGTCGCTCAGAACCTGCCTGCACCATGCGCCTGTACTGCTGTGAACGTGAGTTCTGGTGTAGTTCTTATAGAGTTATATTGGGTGTGTGATGTGACATCACACTCTCACTCTTTTGTGTGTGATGTGACATCACACTCTCACTCTTGTGTGTGTGATGTGACATCACACTCTCACTCTTGTGTTTGTGATGTGACATCACACTCTCACTCTTGTGTGTGTGATGTGACATCACACTCTCACTCATGTGTGTGTGATGTGACATCACACTCTCACTCCTGTGGTGTGATGTGACATCACACAAACTGCTTGTATGTGTGTGATGAGGTAAGCGTGACATCACACTCGCTGCTTGCCTATTCTCTGTGATGGGGCCAGCGTTAGCGCGAGCAAAAAGTTTCAAATCTTAATAATATTAAAAAATATTATTGATATATTATTAAAATATTATTTAAATGAAATATATAATAAAGTATTATTTTTATATTAATTAAATAATAATGAATTCATTAGCTTAGCTCGGCACTTCCCCGTGATAAATAACCGAATAATAAATAATCACAATCTTCTTTAATATGCTTTCATATTAGGCAAATTCTTATTTTTGTTAAATATATTACAAATGCACTATTTCTTGAACGTAGCATCCACAAATAATATAATATAATATAAACTTATTTTTTATTTTTTTTTTATTTTTCAGACCCCGGAACAGCTAATCCGCAACTTGGTCCTGATGATGACCAAGACACTAAAATCCGGAAATTTTTCTACCGTAAAAGGCGAGTGTAGCAGCCTGCCCCAGCAAGGTCCTTCAACGCAGAAGTTTCTCGATGCCTTCAAAACTGTACGTTTAAATATTTTTATACCTCATTAAATCGCGTTAGAGTTTTATACCACTTTAAATCACGTTTGTGTTTTATATCTTGTTGAATTATGTTATTGTTTTCCTCCTTAAATTACATTGGTGTTCTATGCTTCGTTAAATCACGTTAGGGTTTTGTGCCTCGATAAATTACGTTAGTGATTTGTACCTCGTTAAACCACGTTAGTGATTTATACCTCGTTAAACCACGTTAATGTTTTATACCTCGGTAAATTATGTTAGGGTTTTATACTTCGTTAAATCACGTTAGTGTTTCATACCTCGTTAAATCATATCTCGACAAATCCCATTAGTTTTTTATACCTCGTTAAACCGCGTTAGTGTTTTATACCTCGTTAAATTATGTTAGTGTTTTATACCTCGTTAAATCACGTTAGGGTTTTATACCTCGTTAAATTACATTAGTCTTCTATACCTCGTTAAATCGCGTTAGGGTTTTATACCTTGTTAAATTATGTTAGTGTTTTATATCTCGTTAAATTATTTTAGTGTTTTATACCTCGTTAAACCACGTTAGTGCTTTATACCTCGTTGAACCACATTAGTGTTTTATACCTCGTTAAATCACATTAGTGTTTTATACCTCGTTAAACCACGTTAGTGTTTTGTACCTCGTCCAGTCACATTAGTATTTTATACCTTCTTAAATTTAATACGGGTAAAGAGTTTTATATTTCCATGAAATATATTAGTGCTTTATTACTTTATAAATTAATTCAGCATTTTATACCTCCTTCAATCACTTAAGTTTTAGTACCTTGCATTACATTATCTGTTTAGCTAACTTTATGTATACCCAATAAGAGTACTCAATATTATTGAACGAATGGGAATAAAAAAATAAAACGGACCTCCACATGTAAAATTTGCCATCCGCTTTTTCATATAAAAAAAATCGCTTTTAAATTCAAAATAACAGACAATTGAAAGTATACGAAGTGTTGAACATGCGCTGCCTGATGAATGTGTTAACACGAACTGCATTGTTGAACCCTATATTTACATCTAGTGAACTACTTTCAACATCAACAGCGATAATCAACTCATTTAAAAAATAAATAGTGATAATCAACTCCTGTCAAAATCAAGAGTGATAATTAACTCCTTTTAAAATAAACTGTGATTATCAACTCCTTTTAAAATCAACAGCAGCAATCAACTCTTGTTAAAATCAACAGTGATAATCAGCTCCTTTCAAAATCAACAGTGATAATCAGCTCCTTTCATTATCAACAGTGATAATCAGCTCCTTTCTAAATCAACAGTGATAATCAGCTCCTTTCTAAATCAACAGTGATAATCAGCTCCTTTCTAAATCAATAGTGATAATCATCTTTCTTAAAATCACAGGAAAGAATAAACTAATTAACTGTGAATTTTCATCTCAACATGAGGCATCTAATTCTGACTAAGCCTTAAAAGAAAAGCAAAAGCAAAGCTTTGCCCTGGACAAGTTCTCATCGTCACGTCAAAAATTTTAAAATAATTATAATTAATTCCACATTAATTAATATTAAAGCACCTAAATTCCTATTAAACTTTATACATCGTTTTTCTTAAAAATGTTAATTATAAAAGAAAAATCGGAAGAACTAATCAAAATTTGTTTCGTCAATTCGATAGAACGTAATGCGAACATTGTCTCTTAACTTTAAGCCTTTTAATAGAAAATGAATTCTCGTTTGAAATAATTCAAGCTGGGATTGATCTTCAGATTCGAGCATTTAAATGAATACAATTGAAAGAACATTCCGTCCTTCAACTTATTATTAAAATTATTAAAAAGCGTGTTATTTATTCATTTTTGAAATTTTATTCTTTCATTTTCTTTGCGTATTTAAATGGAGAAAATGAAAACACTGCTTCTCCATTTAAATCTCATGCTTGAAAACATTTTGAAAATTAAAATCAAATTACCCGAGCAAGACGTGAGCATTATTTTCATGAATCTGAATGAATACAGTGACAGCATAACGTCTCCATTTTAATCTTTCTGTTTGAAATGTTTTGCGAAAACAAAAAAAAATTCGAACATTTTTTATGTAAAAAAATTGAAAATATTTTATGAAAAATAAATAATTGAAAATACTTTGCGAAAAATGAATTTGAAAACATTTTGTGAAAAAAAATTGAAAATATTTTGTGAAAATAAATTGAAAATATTTTGTGAAAAAAATTTGAAAATATTTTGCGAAAAAAAAAATGTTGAGCAGGAAGTGAGCGGCTGGAAAGGAGCGATATGGACCAACGAGACGCAGGAGTTGAAAGTGGCAAACACCTTCCAATACGACGCTGTCAAAGGCAGCGTCAAAACAAAGATCGGTTCGTGGGCCACGCAAACCGGAATTCAACTCGAACCTCTCTTCGAAAACACGCCCATTAAACGATTTTTCCGCGTCGGAAGTGTAGAGGTTTGGTTCGATCATTAATTTTGGGAAGATAGCAGTTTAAATTCGCGAAAATATTTTAAGTAATTTTACTTGTTATATTTAGTTAAAATCGACCGCGTCGGAAGTGTCTAGGTTCGATTCGATCATTAATTTTGAAAGATACCAGTTTAAATTCATGAAAATTTTTTTAAGTAATCTAAGATATTTTTCTTGTTATATTTGGCAGAAAAATCGGGTAGCTAATTTCATGTTTATGTTTGGCCAAAGTTATATGTTTATTGTAAAAAGGTTTTATTTATCAAATAATGAATGCTAAAATTGCTACGCGTAACTTTTAAAATTAATAAATAGTTTAAGCGCAATATGCCTTATCTGCATGAATTAACTTCCTTCTATTTCGATGACCCATACAATAATATTCACAAAAATTAAACTTTAAATGATTTATATATACTTAAATTGTAATCATTTATATGACGCATGTTCGTGGACAGTCCCGACCCTGGTTCTATAAAGACAGCAGTCCTGATGGCGTGTCCTTTGAAGGATACAAAGGATACTGCGTCGAACTCGCCCTAAGGTACCATTATTTTTCATTTTCTCAGGCATCATTATTTCATTATATCCTTAATTACTCAGTTACCGCTATTTTTTATTTTTTTTTCGGCTACCGTTACTTTTTTTTAATATTTCATGTACCGAAATTTTCTCATTTTTGCAGGTACCATAATTACCTTATTTTATCGCGTACCTTCATTTAATTACTTTCTCTGGTGCAATAATTTTTTTTATTTCTGCATGTACCACCGTTTAATTATTTTTTCAGGTACCATTATTTTATTTTTTCTCACTTCTCATTATTTAAATTGGGTTCTCGAGTGCCATTATTTAATTGTATTCTCTGGTATCACCATATTCGCATTTTCTCAGATACCATTATTATTATTTCATTTCTTTATAACCAAGTCACTCCAGAAATATATTGATAATTTTTGTAATCTCACAGAAATCATATGAAAAAAAATCGAATTTCAATTTTAAGTCTAAAAATCAACATTCCAGAGTGCGGTTCTTAATAACTTAGGCGATCAAGAAATCTTCAGTTGCTCATCTCGATATGTAAAATTAACAATTATTATATAATGCGCACTCTAGATATGTTAGTTTATGACATTTTGTTAGAAATTTTTTATAAATTTTCCATTTTGCTTTAAATTTTTCCTAAGGCTTGCCAATATGATGGAGTTTGACTTCAGTTTCCTCACTCCAAACGACGGCAAATTCGGAGCAAAGATGGCCAACGGGACATGGAACGGTTTGGTTGCAGACCTCGCGAATGGGGTTAGTTATTTACTTATTTTTCTTGGGAGAAAGGAAGGTAATCAATTGTTAGTTAACTTAATAAATGATTTAACTATGGGAAATTTAAATTTACTGTGTTATTATAAGAGTTATTTATTGTTTAACTGGTATAAATATGAATTTAAGTTGTAATTACTATGAGATTCTTAATTGTTAAAGCTGTAGGCAGTTAATAATTGAAGTTAATCTCCGGTTTATTAGTGCTGAGATTTTTATCAATTTATAAATTTATTTTATTTTCTGGGTTATTAATTGCAAAAACTGTGGTCAATACTTGTCTTTGAAGTTAACATCGAAGTTAATAAATGCAAAAGCTGTGGTCAATACAAATCACTTAGGTTATTACAGTGCTCGTCATCGCAAAAACTGTGGTAAATTCAAATAATTTATGGTATCAATTATTATCATATTATCAATTATATTTATTATATAATTATGTTATTAATTATAATTATTATTAAATTATAATATTCTAATTTAATTACTATAATATTGTTTTATTATAATATCAATTATAATTATAATATACTTACAATATCAATTTTATAATAATTATCAGATTATCAATTAATAAGTAGTTCAGTATCTAACTTTTCCCACATGCCACCAGGATACAGACCTCATCGTCGCTCCCCTGACGATGACGTCAGAGCGCGAAGAAGTGATCGACTTCGTCACGCCGTATTTTGATCAATCCGGAATATCTATCGGTGAGTATATGACTTATGTTGATGGTGAAATAAGTATTTAATTATGCATTTACTTTTTATTATTTGAATTCATAGAAGTATATGTGTTTCAGTAATTTCAGTATTATTAGTAAGTAATTTAATTAGTAATTATTTCAGTATATTGCTTTAACAAGGTAGCTATGCTCTAAAGTATATATATCCTCGATGTTCTTAACTCGCATTAAGAAACTTACAACCAATTACTGAACATTTTCAGAATAAAATTATTTATAAAATTAAACAGCAATGACATTTCTTGAGCAATCCCGTCAAAATACCCAGAAATTTTTGTCAAAAAATCCAAATGTAGCCAAGAAATGAAACCAATTTTTGCAGTCGGCAATAAAAAGCCCGGATTAAACCTTCGCTGCATTACAGAATTTTTTTCCTCGCCTCCATTCATTTACCCCTGAAGGAAGGGGAGACTGCAGTTCATTTTTCTAGGCAATTTATAAGCAAACGGATCCGGAAATGTCCCATTAATTTCTACGAAGCCAAGCCTCTCTTCTTTATTGGCCGCCACTTGAGCCCGGTTTTTACAAGGCTGCTCTTTCAATTTTACCGGCCATTTTTTCAAAGCTTTTAAAGGTCTTTAAAGGTCTTTTTCAACTTTTCATATGATATGATGAATTTTGCATCTCCTATATAAAATTCGTAATATCAATAATCATAATCCATAATAGACTGCATTTGTTTATCATTAGATTTTCTTCAAAAAATGTAAACGTTATAAGAGAGAGTTGAGTGATTAGATATTTCGTTTAGTTAAGCGATTAGTAGAATTAAAATAATAAATACAATATTTCATCGAAGTAAATCAAACAATGTTGTAGTAATGATCAACACGAATCATTCCGGGACGATTGAATGATTAATTTCACTGATGATCCTCATGCGATTATTAAAATCGGCTGGATAAAATTATTGCACAGCTTATATAAATGGAAGTAACTTTTTTGTTTTGGTCATTTACAAGCGAAATATTTATTAAAATGATCGAATGGTTTGTGATTTTTAAGCAGAATTTTTTTCCACCAATGAATTAAAGCTACTGCTAAAATTAGTTTAATTATGAATATGATTTTTTATTCCAACTTGTCTATCGGTATTTGCAGAATTATACAATAGAGACATTACAACTTTTTTAAGGCTTTAAATATCCTAATTTAGCATCATAGTCGAGAAATCAAGCTGTAAAATAAAGGTATTTAACCGTATTTTACATATTAAATCATTGAATAGCGATGTTTTAGATATTGAGTCATTTAATAACGATATTTTTATTAGTGATTCGATTGCAGACTTTTTTTTCCATCACCAATGAATATGCAATAATATAATATAATGAATATAAGAGGGGTGATTGGTAAGGGGTGATTGGTAAGGGGTGATTGGTAAGGGGTGATTGGTAAGGGGTGATTGGTAAGGGGTGATTGGTAAGGGGTGATTAGTAAGGGGTGATTGGTAAGGGGTGATTAGTAAGGGGTGATTGGTAAGGGGTGACGGGTTGGGGTTGGGATGAGTGGTGAGGGCTGTAATGTGGGCTGAGGGGTTGAGAAATGAGGAGTGTGGCGGCGGATGAAGGGGTTGTTTTTAGCGCATTTTCTCATTTATGGAAAAAAGGTGCAATTGTGCTCGTCATGTCCGTCCGTCCGTGACTTAAATTTTTCGTCGATTTTGAGAAAATGCGCTCTCTGTCACTCACTGCAGTGAGTACTGATCCAATTTTTTCGGATTGATTGGGCAAAGGGTGCTGTTGTATGAACGCGTCCAAGAACAGACTAGATAAAGCTATGGAAAAATATATGTTCAGATATGATATGATATGATATGATATGATATGATATGATATGATATGATATGATATGATATGATATGATATGATATGATATGATATGATATGATATGATGTGATATGATATGATATGATATGATATGATATGAAATGATATGATATGATATGATATGATGTGATATGATATGATATGATATGTCAAGGAGTGGGGCTTGTGGGGTGTGGGTGTGATGTGGCGGATATATTTGGGGCTGAGGGAAGAGGGAAGGTGATGTGGGTATGGTGCATAGTGTGGAGGGTGAGTGAAAGATTGTGATTGTGAAAGTAACCTGACATGTGATTATGGGTAATAGCTAATTGATTGAGTCATATTCAGTGAGTCATCGTCACAATCACATCGTAGTGTGATTGTGAGTCATCGTTTGAGAGAGAAACAGTGAAGTACCGACAATGATAATCACCGGCATTTTTAACGATGGTTATGAATAATGATGTAGATGTAAATTTTTAACAAATTTAGACTGCGAAATTTTCATTCAAATGATATCAAATGTTAATAGATTTTAAACGTGAAGAAATGTTAAATATATCCACGCAGGTGTGATGTTGTGGCTGCTGGACCGCTACTCTCCGTACTCGGCCCAGAATAATGCAGATAAATACCCTGAAACTTGCAGAATATTTACCCTGAAAGAAAGCTTCTGGTTTGCCCTGACGTCCTTCACTCCGCAGGGCGGAGGGGAAGCTCCTAAAGTAAGAATAATTTATTTTCAGGGTAATTTTCCTAATCAAACTTTGGACTGCACTGTTTTCAGGGTAGTTTTTCTAATCAAACTTTCGACTGCACTGTTTTCAGAGTAACTTTTCTAGTCAAATTTTGGACTGCACTGTTTTCAGAGTAACTTTTCTATTCAAACTTTGGACTGCACTTTTTTCCAAAATCAGTTCAATTTTATTACTTACATTCATTGTATTGAATTGTCTCTGTATCACGAAATTGTTTCATTTAATATTTTGAAGGTTTATTGAACGCTTTTTTTAAGATTGTGTGGCATCAATTTTTTAAGTGATAAGCACAATTACATTAATTCCAATTTGCATTATTTAAGTAATTAACGAATTATCAAAGAAAAATAAAATGATATCTATTTACACCCTGTAATTCCCACGATTCGAGCTTTTTTTTTTATAAATATGACTATTAATTACTTAGAACGAATACAATTCACCATAGCGGCATATAATATTCAGAATATCAATGTACTTAATATTTCAATTTAAATGCTTTCGAGGAGCCCAATTCGAAATGTGCAAGTCGTTGTGGCAAACAAGGAATTTTTTAATTAAGATTCGTATCCGAAAATTGGGGGGACGTTGGTGCAATAACCATTATTTCTGACCAATCTTTATTTTAAACCTGAATCTATCACCACAGGTATTATCTGTTACATAATAAAATATAATAAATAAAAGGATATTTAAATTTATATACGGTCTACCACCACACACCATGTCAGGTTTCACGCTGCATGGTAGCTGCGTATAAATTGTAAATAAAAAAATAGACGTTTTTACTTACATCAAATTAGGACCTTTCACATAATGCTTATGTGTACATATATGTATATGATGTATATGCAGGTTTGATTGAAGAACAGAGCATACATTCTAGTAACAATTTCCTATTGTTTTTTCTTTTCAATAAGACGAACAATGTATGTATAAATAAATTAAATATATACATAAATGTATTTAATATACATATGTCACCATATGTATATTAAAATAAACACATATGGTAACGTGAAACACCGCCGAATGTGTTACCAAATGAAATAAATTTAATAATTCAATAGTTAAAGTTATATACGATCTACCACCACAGGCTCTGTCTGGTCGCACGCTGGTAGCAGCCTACTGGTTGTTCGTAGTACTGATGCTGGCTACCTTCACTGCCAACCTCGCTGCCTTTCTCACCGTCGAGAGGATGCAGGTATATCATATCCTGTACCTCATTATCATTATTTTGATGCCTAATAATCAGTAATCATAACGTTCATAAAATGAACGTTATCAATATAAAATGTAATAAAATTATAACAAAAATAATAATAATATTCTCACCGTTGAGAGGATGCAGGTATATCATATCCAATATCTCATTATCATTATTTTTATGCCTAATAATCATTAATGATGATGCTCATAAAATGAACGTCATGAATATAAAATGTAATAAAATTATAGCAATAATAATAGTAATAATAATAATAACAATAACATAATAACAGTTATAATAAAATATTAATAATAAACTAATAATAATAATAAAATAAAATTAATTAATTGGCCTTTATTAAAATTGAAATGCAGGTGCACTTTATCTTATGTCCATTATCATTATGGCGGTGCTTCATAATTATGAATATTCTTGGTGTTCATAAAAATTACACATATAACGCAGCTTGGAGGTACACCGTAGCTTACTTTATGTCGGTGCTTCATAAACTTCAATTATATAATTTATTGATTCTTATTATTAATTATGTTCAAAAATCAGAAAATTGCCTCGGATAACGTTTATTAACAACATGATAATTTATGTTTTAAAGCTTTTCTTTTATTATTAATAATCTTTATGAACTGTAATTTGCAGGTAACTACTCCTTAACCATCTAATCAATGTTAAATGTAAGTCGCGATTATCCTCGCGAGCATTTTCCTGAACGTCGTCTGATTATATTAAATGTTTTCATTAAGATATGAACATTGGTGTAGTTTGGCAGAAGATTTTCTTTAATGCAGGTTTCATTGAAGACCAGAGAGTATTTCTTATTGACAATTTTCTTATTGTTTTTCTCTATTCGGCGAATTAGGCTCTTGATAGGAACTGAGAAGTCAAATATCAGGTTTCCAAGGGACATTTTATTAGAGTGGGACATTTATATCACACCGCCGCCTAACATGCCACCTCCAGAACGGAGGACCGAAGAACCACATGAGAGAGGCTCATAATGAGACCCTCACTCGCGCGACATTGGAGACCCACACCAGAATCATCATGAGATGCCCAGACGCCACAAGACTGACGATAGCTGAGGCTCTCATCATCAAGCAGGAGTCTCCAGCTATTAATTTACAAACTACCGGATTTGTCAGAACGTTAAAATTGTTCTCGTAATTCAAGCTTTGATTCCAATCTGTATCCATAATACTCTATGTTTATATGCGTACAATTTATGACCAGAGAGTGCATTTGAATTTTCAAGGAGTTGAACAATTCTTAGATAACGTTGGTAGATCAAAAGGCAGATTTAGCAAATAATAATATATTAACGACGTTTCGAATGTAGCAACATTCATTTTCAAGTTAAGAGAAGCATTGAATAGTGAAATTTGGTTGGACATAAGTACATAATACACGTAAATAGGATACAACACAAAAATTTCGAGCCAGAAAGTCCTTACGCAAACAATCTCNTGTGTAACATGTAATATAAGCGAGCAGCACGTGGACGTGAGTAATGCATGTAGCATTCAAGTAACGCGTGTAACATATAATTTAAGCCGCGTAACATATCAATAACAGGTAACATGTTCATAACATGTAATATGTAAGTAATACATGTAGCATTTAAGTAACGCGTGTAACATATAATTTAGACGTAACAGACCAATAACATGTAACATGTTCATAACATGTAGCATTTAAGTAACGCGTGTAACATATAATTTACGCCGAGTAACATATCAATAACATGTAACATAGGACTAGTGCGTGTAGCATTTAACTAACGCGTGTAACATATAATTTACACGTAACATATCAATAACATGTAACATGTAAGTAATGCGTGTAGCCTATAAGTAACACGTGCAATATTTAATTAAAGTGTAACAGACCAATAACATGTAACATGTTCATAACACACACACCACATAGACTCCAGTGAACAGCATGGCAGAGCTAGCGGGCCAGAGCAAAGTGAACTACTCAGTGCTGCAGGACTCGTCTGTGCTCGAGTACTTCTCCAATATGGCCAGAGCTGAGGACGAACTTTTTAGGTAACAGGACCGTTATTTTTCATAGTAATATTAATGTTACTTATCTTTGGGCATATTGTCTGTCACCAATATCTCAGTAACATGAATGTTACTTATCATAGTATAATCAATGTTCCTTATCATAATAAAATTATAGTTACTTCTCTTTGGGTTCTTTGCCTGATCTTAGTACCATAACTGTTACTTATCATAGTAAAATAAATGTTATTTATCTTTGGGCATCACGCCTGTCACTAATATCTTGGTAACATGAATGTTACTTATCTTTGGGTATCATGTCTGTCACTAATATCTTAAACCATCTATGTTACTTATCTTTGGGTATCATGCCTGTCACTAATATTTTAGTACCGTAACCGTTACTTATCTTTGGGTATCATGCCTGTCACTTATTTCAGTTACATCACTAATTACCAACACTTAATTAGTGTTTTATTCAGTTTGTATAAAAAATTTGGACCAATCTATTGAAAAAATTCCGACATTTTTACAAATACTTTCCGTTTGTAAATAGACGAGCTGTACAATTTTTTTTTTCAATATTCACGTGTGATGAAAATTATTTTTGGTTAAGCGACCCATGTATAAAGATAAATACAATAAATAATAGCAGCTATACATTAGTGTCTTCCCACATCGACACCCACATTATTTGTAGAATAGAGTCTCTATGTAAAGAGTTGTAAATAGTGAAGTGTAAAATTTACAATATTTGTAAATAATTAAGCCTATAATAGAGTATATGTGTAAATAATTGTAAATACTTATGTTTAAAATAGAGTATATGTGTAAATAGTTGATACCTCAAACTGAAATTGTATTTTTACAGCACTTGTAAACTCAGTGAATTTTACAAATAGATCTTTTGTTTAGTTTTTTTAAATAGGGTTCCAGAAATCTAACAGGACCTGAAGTTTTGATCGCTTGTTTGCTTCGGAGTTTGTAACCAAGTTCCAACCTTCAGATGAATCGTTTTGCTGCATTAATTTTCGTATTTGAGCGATCTGAGTTTACTTAATTTATTACAAACAGTGGCAGCAAGTCTCATTTGATTAATAAGTTTCCTGGCGATCCGTCAATAAAGTTTTCGTAATTGCTGAAAGTAACTTCACTTTCATTGCGCGAAACTTTTTGCTGGTGCTGAGTTACTGGCTCTCGCTTCAGCCATTATTGTCTGTATTATAGCGTCCGTTTTTTGTACTTTACTGGATTTCTCTAAATAGGCCCATTGCCTAATTTTCAGGCATCAAGTACAATGTAATTTCCTTGTGTGCAAAGATTAAGTCCACGTTAATTGATGTCTAAACCATCACCAAGGCCGCGTTAATTAACAAGACTGTCTCTGCTCGAATCCAAGTCCATCGAGTACGCGCTAATTACCACATCGGCCTGTATTTAAGTCCACGCTGATATCCGAGTCTGCTTGCATCAAGTCCTCACTTATTCGCTTGAATACTTAGGTCAAGTCCAAGTGCAAGCTAACAAACGTGTCATCCTCATCGAATCGCGATAAATTACCGTATCGGCTTGCATCGAGTTCAGCAAATCCACGCTAATTCACTCTCCTGCTAACATCAAGTCCGCGCTAATTCGCTTGCTTGCTTGCATAAAGTCTACGATAATTCGCTTGCCTGCTGTCATCAAGTCCCCGCTAATTCGCTTGCCTGCTGGCATCAAGTCCACGCTAATTCGCTTGCCTGCTGGCATCAAGTCCCCGCTAATTCGCTTGCCTGCTTGCATCAAGTCCACGCTAATTCGCTTGCTTGCTTGCATCAAGTCGGCGCTAATTCGCTTGCCTGCTTGCATCAAGTCCGCGCTAATTCGCTTGCCTGCTGGCATCTAGTCCACGCTAATTCGCTTACCTGCTGGCATCAAGTCCGCGCTAATTCGCCTGCCTGCTGGCATCAAGTCCACGCTAATTCGCTTGTCTGCTGGCATCAAGTCCACGCTAATTTTCTTCCCTGCTTGCATCAAGTCGGCCCTAATTCGCTTGCCTGCTGACATCGAGTCCATGCTAATTCGCTTACCTGCTGACATCAAGTCCGCGCTAATTCGCTTGCCTGCTGGCATGAAGTCAACGCCAATTCGCTTGCCTGCTGGCATCAAGTCCGCGCTAATTCGCTTGCCTGCTAGCATCAAGTCTGCGCTAATTCGTTTGCCTGCTTGCATCAAGCCCGCGCTTATTCGCTTGCCGGTTTGCATCAAGTCCACGCTATATTCGCTTGCCTGATGGCATCAAGTCCGCGCTAATTCGCTTGCCTGCTTGCATCAAGTCTGCGCTAATTCACTTGCCTGATGGCATCAAGTCCACGCTAATTCGCTTGCCTGCTTGCATCAAGTCCACGCTAATTCGCTTGCCTGCTGGTATCAAGTCTACATGCCTGCTGCCATCGAGTCCACGCTAATTTCCTTGCCTGCTTGCATCCAGTCCACGCTAATTTCCTTGCCTGCTTGATTCCACGCTAATTCTCTTGCATGCTGACATCAAGTCCACGCTAATTCCCCTGCCTGTTGGCATCAAGTCTACATGCCTGCTGGCATCAAGTCCACGCTAATTTTCTTGCCTGGTGACATCAAGTCCACGCTAATTCGCTTGCAGGCTGGCATAAAGTCCGCGCTAATTCTCTTGCATGCTGACATCAAGTCCACGCTAATTCCCCTGCCTGTTGGCATCAAGTCCGCACAAATTCTCTTGCATGCTGACATCAAGTCCACGCTAATTCACCTGCCTGTTGGCATCAAGTCCGCGCTAATTCTCTCGCATGCTGACATCAAGTCCACGCTAATTCTCCTGCCTGTTGGCATCAAGTCCGCGCTAATTCTCTTGCATGCTGACATCAAGTCCACGCTAATTCCTTTGCCTGCTGGCATCAAGTCCGCGCTAATTCGCTTGCCTGCTGGCAGCAAGTCCACGTTAATTCGCTTGCCTGCTGGTATCAAGTCTTCGTTAATTTCCTTGCCTGCTGGCATCAAGTCTTCGTTAATTTCCTTGCCTGCTGGTATCAAGTCCAATAATTCGCTTGCCTGCTGGCATCAAGTCTTCATTAATTTCCTTGCCTGCTGCATCAAGTCCCCGCTAATTCGCTTGCATGATTGCATCAAGTCTTCGTTAATTTCCTTGCCTGCTGGCATCAAGTCCACTAATTCGCTTGCCTGCTTGCATCAAGTCTCCAGTACAGTCCCTGGAGGCCCTCGCCAGACAAGCCAAGATCAAGTTCACAACCACGCGCGACACGTCCATTTACGAGTACTTCTTCAATATGGCGCGCGCCGAAGACGAACTTTTCAGGTAAAATCCATGTGTTCGTTTGCTTAATAATTAGTTAAATCATCAAGGCTATTCAGCAATATGTTCATTTTCCCATTAATTAGACAAATCATCTAGGCTCTTCAACAATTTTTTTGTTGTTTAGTGAATGCACCAATACAATAGATGCGATATATTTTGCTTTAGCTATGAGCCGCTGCTTTATCCAGTGCCCGCTTTTTTATGCCCGTTGTGCTGGTTTATCCGTCGTAAAAATCAGTATTGTTCACTTTGGCCATTGTATTCGTCCGCTGTGTTTGTCCGCTATGTTCGTCCGCTGTGTTCGTCCGATATATTCGTCAGCTGAATTAGTACGCCATGTTCATCCGCTGTGTTCGTCCACTGTGTTCGTCCGCTGAATTCGTACGCCATGTTCATCCGCTGTGTTCGTCAATTACGTTCGTTTGTTGCGTTCGATCGCTCCATTTATTCGTAAATTTTTTGAACTTTTTCCCGTCTTTTTGCTCTGACTTCTTTGTATGCTTGACCGCTTTATGTTAGTTAAGTTCTAATTCTATAATATTTTTACTCATGCAAATAAATTGCAACTTACATTAAAAATTTATCTGCTTCTTGTTTTCGAAAGCTCACAAATTTAGATTTGGCTTCAACTTGTAGATAAATGTATGATAAAAAATATTAATTTGCATGCATGTTATTGTCTATACCTGCGCGTAAACAGGTGTTTTTTTCATTTATCGTAAGTGTTCGTTATAATTATTGTAATGTGAAACCAAGCATGCGAAATTAATTGTTTTTGTAAACGTTCAAATAAACGTAGTTTGTAATCGTTTTCGGTATCGAAGAGCATGTTCCTCATTCACTATTACATCACTGCCTATTGCATGCACGTATTATCATCTGAAAGTCATTGTTTTTCCAAAGTTAATGAAGAATACATGGTTAAATTTTTATATAGATTCATAAAGTACATATTATATGATTTTAAACTCAAGATGTTTTTTGTGCTTTCTTATTATGTTTTCACTAAAATGTGTGTTATTGGAGTGTGCATGCTTACCTAGTCGTATGAGTATATTGAACAATAACATTCATCTAGAGCCGTTCAATGTTATGGTGTAAGTATGACTGCAATGCTAATATTTATCACGCGCAGGGCATTTCTCATTTAAATTTTTCGTTGATAGCCTGCATGTAAAAATTACGAAGTTAAATACCTAAGATTGATTTTAATTTGTTCTCTATTGATGAAATTATACTTTTTGTATAGTAATAATGTTATAGGAGCGTTTCAATTTCACTTACTGTCTATTTGTTGGGTTTTAAAATGCGGAAATGGTAATTAATGTCTATTGTTGATATTGATGATGTGAAGACATTACTAAATGTCTATTAATAGTGAACAATACTAATCTCAATCTATTTATTGCTGGTGTGGAGGATGGGGCAATGTTACATATTATTGGTGGTGTTCAATATAGTATTATTGCCTATTAAGGCTGAACTACACTAATCTCACTCTATTAATATTACCTTTTAATGATGAACACTACTAATCTCAATCTTTCTATTGCTGTTGTGGAGGGTGTGGAAGGAGTTGACCCTGAACAGCACGACTGACCAAAGCAAGTACCGTGTATGGGATTATCCTATCAAGGAGCAGTACACTCACATCCTACAGGTCATCGAGGATACCGGCCCCGTCGCTACCGCCGAGGAGGCTTTCAAAATGGTCAGAAATTGGTACAATTCTACCCCAAATGATCTGAAATTTATAAACTACTATACAAAATGGTATGAAAGTGGTGCATGTATAAAACAGATAAGTAAACATTGATGAAATTTATACATATCTATTGACAATTGTATGAAAGTGGTACTCTTGTAAAACTGATAAGTAGAATGATATATCTCTAGAGTCTACAACGAATGGTCAGAAATCGGTACAATTCTACCCCAAATGATCTGAAATTTATAAACTACTATACAAAATGGCATGAAAGTGGAACATTTCTACAATAGATAAGTAGAAATTGGTACATTTATACAGTCTACAACAAATGGTCGGAAATTGGTACGATTTAAAAAACAAATGGCAAGAAATTCATCCACCTCTAAAACAAATTGGTACCTACATAGGTACCTACACCTCTAAAACAAATTGGCAGAAATTGGTACCTACACCTCTAAAACAAATTGGCAGAAATTGGTACCTACACCTCTAAAACAAATTGGCAGAAATTGGTACCTACACCTCAAAAACCTTTGTCCAGAAATTGATAAACCTCTACAAGAAATGGCCGAATGTTTCTTAGATTTTAACACCTAAATAACTCATTTTTCGCATAAAAATATTTTATTTTGGATCACAAAATAATTCAGGCGTGAAAGGGTTAAGAATAAAATCCTGTTCAATAAATCGTCGATTTCAAATTATACTTCTCCAATATAATTGGCTTGCAGAGGGCGTGAAAAATTTGTTGTCCAATAAAATAAAGTAAAGCGACCTGTCGGCGACTTTAGGAAAGTATTTTCAATTCATTTTCCCTGTGCTACCATCCTTATACTAAATGTTATGTCAAACGTTACAAATCTTATATTGTATGCTTGCTTATATTTGAAAGATGTTTCCCTGTATATGAAATTTCCCCTACAAACTCAGTTCACATTTATTCATATGTAAACGAGCAACCTCACAATTATAGTTCCGACACATTTTCCCTTCTTTCAGGAGACATTGTAAAGCTTGATTTATGTCTATGATTGCATTTATTAAATTAAATTCTTATGATTTCTTTGCCGGGTTTCTAGTATTTATAATTTAATACTTTTTTGGGTCTCTCTCGTTAATTGTGTTTTACTGATAAAAAGATAATAGATGTAAATTTAATTGGTATTAAGGTGATTTTTCTCACAACATTTAAAGAATGATACAAGATTCCTAAAAATCTCAGAGCAGTATGTTCAAAGTTCATCCTACAACATTTGATGCTAAAATTTTATGCACATTGATGCATTTTATATACCCTGAGAATATTGTGTGGGGAAAGGATTTCTCAGGTCCAAATTATGCAGGTTCTAGACAACATAGAACGAATTTCCTCAGAAATTTTATGGTTCAGTTTCTGCAAATCTATATCTAGAAGAAAATTTACTGATGGACAAAATATCGTCATTAAACATTCCTGAAACAATATCGTCATTATCGTCATTAAACGTCATTATCGGTGCGAGTTAAATGTCATTAAACTTCATTCCTGAAGCAGAATCATCATTATCGCCAATAAACAATAAATATCGTCATTAAACATTCCACAAGTAAAGAAAGTTTTCTTGTGGACAAAATAGCGTTATTAAGCATTTCTTATGTTGCGGGTTCTAGACAACACAGAAGAAATATCCTCAGAAATTTTATGCTGCAGTCTCTGAAAATTTAGAAGAAAATGTACTTTTAGAATAAATATCGTCATTAAACATTCCTGCTGTCGCAGGTTCTTAACAACACTAGTCAGCGCTAATTTGCTTGCCTGCTGGACAAGCAGGCAAAATATCCTCAAAAATTTTATGGTTTAGTTTCTGTAAATCTAGATTTGAAAGAAAATTTATTGTGGCCAAAATATCGTCATTAAACATTTCTGATGTCGCAGGGTGTGGACAAAGCAGAACAATTTTATGGTGAAGTTTTTGCAAATCGAAATTTAAAAGAAAATTTATTGTGGACAAATATCGTCATTAAACATTCCTGATGTCGCAGGTTCTGGACAACACAGACGGAGAGTTTGCGTTCATCCACGACGCAGCGCAGATACGCTACGAGCTCTACCACAGCTGCTACCTCAGCGAGGTCGGCGAGCCCTTTGCAGAGCAGCCCTACGCCATCGCCGTGCAGCAGGGCAGCTACCTACAGGAGGAGCTTAGCAGGGCGTGAGTCTTGCGATGGAAGCTACATTATTAATTATGTAACGCAATAGTGTGCTTCTTAATGGAGCATGTGAGTTAGTTCGAATATTTTTTAGCAAGTTGCTGTATTGTGCAAAAATTATCGATAACTGATAATTTATTCCTTTAGAGTACTATTGAGTTACTTCTGAATTGTCTGATTAGAGCGCAAATATGATGCAAGTAGTGAGTTATTGAAAATAAGCTTGTCTCACGTCGTGCCCAGTATCCTGGAGCTGCAGAAGGAGCGCTACTTTGAGTCGCTGCTTGCCAAGTTCTGGAACTCGTCTGCTCGCGGCTACTGCCCCAACGACGATGAATCTGAGGGCATCACACTGCAGTCGCTGGGTAAAATATACGTATATTATAATATAAAGTAATGGAATACATATGGAAATATTTAGGTAGTACGCTGCAGTCGCTAGGTAAGTAGATATATATTACAACGCAGTAATGGAATACATATTAAAATATTTAGGCATCACACTGCAGTCGCTGGGTAAATTATACGTATATTATAATATAAAGTAATGGAGTACATATGGAAATACTTAGGCAGTACGCTGCTGGCGCTGGGAAAATGTACTTAAATTGGAACGCGGTAATAAAATACATATAGAAATATTTAGGCAGTACGCTGCAGTCGCTTGGTAAATGGATATGTATTATAACACAGTAATGGAATACGTATGGAAATATTTAGGCATTACACTGCAGTTGCTTGGTTAAAATATTTCCATATGGGTTTGTTGGAATAGGAATATTTAGGAATGGAAGATTTCCCGAATATTTCCATAAGGAATATTTAGGCAGTACGCTGCAGTCGCTTGGTAAGTAGACGTATATTATAAATTTATAATAAATTAATGGAATACATATGGAAATATTTAGGCAGTACGCCACAGTCGCTGGGTAAATAGACGTATATTATAACATTATTGGAATACATATGGAAATATTTAGGCATTACACTGCAGTCGCTTGGTAAATAGACGCATATTATAACACAGTAATGGAATAAGTATGATAATATTTAGGCAGTACTCTGCATTCGCTTGGCAAATTATACGTATATTAGAACGCGGTAATAGAATCGATATGAAAATATTTAGGCATCACGTTGCAGACGCTGGGTACGTAGATGTAAAATAAAGCGTTTCAATAGAATACATATGAAAATATCTAGTTATTAAGCTGCAGTCGCTGAATACGTAAATGGAAATTGGGTATAAGTGCGCCCAGAGTTAATTTACGTAATGTAAGAAAATTACATCAGTACTCACTGCAGTGAGTGACAGAGAGCACATTTTCTCGTCCAACCGTGAAGTCACGGACGGAAAGACAGACGGACGGAAGTCACGGACATACAGACGGACGGACATGACGAGCACGATAGCGCTTATTTTCCAGAAATGAGAAATTGCGCTAAAAATACCGTTAATATCATTGATATGCATTGGTTTTTTCACCAGGTGGCGTGTTCATCGCGACGCTCATAGGTCTTGTGTTGGCGCTGCTCGCCCTCGGCATCGAAGTGATGTACAACAAACGCGTGGGCGCCGGCAACCGCAGCGTAGTTCAGGATATCAACATCAAACAGCCCGTCAACATGAAGAACTTTGATCCCAACAACATGGACCTGCCTATGGACAGGGAGAAGATATCCAGGATCAGTGTTGCTCCTGTGTACTGATTAGATCTTGATTATTCCGTGGTATCATCAGGGAGAATGGAGATAAGGTGATCTCTGGGAACAGTGTTGCCCCAGTGTACTGATTAGATTTTAATTATTACGTGTTATCATCAGGGAGAATGGAGATAAGGTGATCTCTGGGAACAGTGTTGCCCAGTGTACTGATTGGATCTTAATTATTACGTGTTGTCATTTAATAGGGAAAATGGAGATAAGGTGATCTCCAGGTACAGTTTTGCCCCAGTGTGCTGAATAGATTTTAATTATTACGTGCTGTCATTTAATAGGGAAAATGGAGATAGGGAGAGCTCTTGGAACAATGTTGCCCAGCGTATGAATTATATTTTAATTATCACGAAATGAGCATATAATTGGCAATACTTTAGGGAGAATGGAGTTAGGCAGAAGATCTCAAATGTCAACGTCGTCCCAGTGAACTAATTAAATATTGATATTGCGTTGGTGATCTAATTGGCAATCTAATAAGGAGAGTGGAGATAAGGAGACAGGGAAGAGACCTCAAGGATCAACGTCACCTCAAAGTACTAATAAAATATTGATCTCACATGTGAAATATAATAAAACCAAGCGACTTTAAATCAACAAACATAACGATTCAAAATGAATGATACACTTATGTGAAGGGTTTGATCTCTTAGCGTTTTCTTCACTGCTAAATATTTTTGATTGATTCGACCATGTGGGCAAAAAATATATATAACTCGGTACTCACTGCAGTGAGTGACAGAGAGCGCATTTTCTCGTCGACGAAAACGTGAAGTCATGCACGGACGGACGGACAGACAGACGGACGGACATGGCGAGCACAGTAGTGCATTTTTTCCATAAATGAGAAAATGCGCTAAAAATATCGCTTGGCGCAGTGACTGGAAACTTAGTCCTATGATCTGCTAGCATATTTGCTGAAAAGTTTTTATGGATTTAAGAAGGCTACCGCCATATAGGAGGCAACAGGATGGGCGAGTTCTTTTGCGGAAGGATAAGTAGGCTGAAGCAATTATTACTTTATTTGCCATTTAAATATTTATCTCACGCACTGTACCAGTTAGATAACTATGGTCATAATAAGTAAGAAGTGAATTTGGCATTCGTAAATCAGCTTTTTATTACTCACAAATTAAACTTTATACTCTCATTAGTTTAGCACAAATTAGAAAACATCACAAAATATTTAAATCATCCTAGTCTCTGACTGGTGTTCTGAGCGCGATGATGGAATAAAACATCTGATCGGATTTAAGTTATTTTTTTGCACTAAAATTTATGATATGCTATTTTTATCGATAAAACTACTTATAAAATGTTTTGAAATTTTAAAGTCAGCATTTTGAAGCACATACGATCCAACTAAATCACAATGTTTATTAATGAAGCACTAAACAATGTTATTTCAATTAAATATTCACATTCCTTCAAACATCATCTGTTAATGCAAATTAGAGATAAAGCTGTTAAAATCTTTGTTTGATTTAACATATACTTCTATACGAACTAAGGTTTGACCAACACTGACGCTAGAAATTAAACACTCATAATAGAGTTCCGAAATAAATCAGAAATTTAAAATGATTGTTTGAAAAAAGTAATTAATTTTTCAAGAGTTTGTATTCACTTTACGTTTGTGTCATTATAGTTTGTCCAATGCATATTCATTTATGCACCGTACACTATTAGAAATACTATGGAAAATATACAAACAATTGTTTTGCACAATTGATAAAAATAAAAGAATTTGCCGAATTGGTTCTTTATCATTCACGTATATAAACAGTGAAAAGTGATAATTATTAGGCAGATTAAGTCACATCTATGCACTAAGATATCATAAATATATCATCCATGAATTGGCGTGTAAATACATTAGATGGAATTATTTTTTTCTGCGATTGCTTCATATTGTATGGATTATTCATATTATATAAAAATATTATATAAAATAATAAAAATATTATAATAATATTATATAAAATGTGAGAAATTACACGATCTTTTAATTTTGTCAGTTTTTATAATTAAGTACATAGCTACACTATCAGACTTATCTTTATCCATTTATGGAAAAAAACGACTTATATATTAATAAAGACCTATATATTTATAACGATTTATATATTTATTTACTACTTTTTCGCTATTACTGATGCACTTCTGTCCGTACTACTTTTTTAGTGATTGTAGTTTGGTAGGCCATTTGTGTCTCGTAGGGATTGCTATAGTATCTTTTCATAAAAATTTCATTTTTGCAATTAAATTCTGGCTGCTGTAGACATTGTTGTCTCAAGTATTTAACTTTCCTTAATAGCAACTACGAAACTAATGTTCATGGTCTAGTCATCGAAACTTTCCCGTCTTCTAGTTCAATAGAAATTGCGAAAGTTTTCTAAAACTTTCCCAAAGAAACGTGAGTTGCAGAAAAGAGCCGAAAACGTTATCTCGAGAACGTGTTTCCAATATCGAGACCGCGTCGAGCAACAGCCCTGTAGCTCCTACATGTAGCAACTATTGCTCGTATTTTGATTTTGTGCTGACTCAGCCTGCCCAAAGGCTGCTTCTTTTTTTTTTTGATATGGATTCCTTTTTTCGTTTGGTTTTTGAAGCTTCCATCCCAACTCGAATTACAAGAGAAAATTTGTGGTTGGAAATTATAAAATATAAGATTGTCTGTCCGGAAATCAGGGGTTGAGTAATAAGGAAAAGTAATTTCCATTCATACTGCGAAAATCAATCCTTAGTAATGCAAAAATACTTGAAGTACATATCCCACCGAAGTTTTATTTTCTCCGAATATTACTCATTTAAAATAATAGCTACAGTTCCGACTTCTGGTACATGTCTTAATCTGACTATATTCTCCCTTGTGCCACAGTTTATCCATGCTACTCAGTTGTCATCTCTTTTGCCATATTGTCACTTGCGGATGGGAAATGGTTATTTATATTCTATTATAGCCAAGTTTCATGAGGCTTCTACACATTCAATTTTTTTGCGTGTGAGACCCAGGTTCTTCGTTATACTCCAAGTTTTATTCCTACAAATTCAAGACGGAATGGATTAAAGAGAATGTGCAATATAATCTGTTTGCTGGAGAGACCTCAATTTTTCGCATCAGTTTATAGAATATTAAACGCTGAAGTAATTTTTATTCTACGTGATTTCAGAATAATATTTTTGACATTGGAAATTATCGCCTGGATATTGAATAAAGGGAGCATATTTTCGTTTAGAGTTAATAAATTATTGATGTGTGTAATTGCTTTAAAAATATATAAAGCCGTTATATATAAAACCGAGTGTATATCCAGCATGCCCTACAGCAAAGGGGTTCAAATTAGGGTTCGGAGTGACAGGGTCCACGCAGGTCATTAAGGGTTCAGAGTGACAGGGTCCATGCAGGTCATTAAGGGTTCGGAGTGACAGGGTCCACGCAGGTAATTAAGGGTTCAGAGTGACAGGGTCCACGCAGGTCATTAAGGGTTCGGAGTGATAGGGTCCACGCAGGTCATTAAGGGTTCAGAGTGACAGGGTCTATGCAGGACATTAAGGGTTCAGAGTGGCAGGGTCTATGCAGGACATTAAGGGTTCAGAGTGAGGTTCAGAGTGACAGGGTCCACGCAGGTCATTAAGGGTTCAGAGTGACAGGGTCCACGCTGGTCATCAAGGGTCCAAAGTGACAGGGTCCACGCTGGTCATTAAGGGTCCAGAGTGACAGGGTCCACGCTGGTCATTAAGGGTCCAAAGTGACAGGGTCCATGCAGGTCATTAAGGGTTCAGAGTGACAGGGTCCACGCTGGTCATTAAGGGTTCAGAATGATGCAAAAACTAAACCTGCCTTATAGGTTGAGGATTAATTCAGTATAAGTACCGGTATCATTGATAAATAATTGTCACTATCGATTTCATTGACCAATGCTTATCAGCACGCTTCATTGACTCACTCGTGCAAGATCGTCTTCAAAGGCATAAGCGAGAAATTAAAGAAGATGTAGATTTGAAGTGCACTAACCCAAACCTAGCCCCTCTTAACCACGTGTAGGGGTTAAGACCTTAACCTTGGAACCCCTGCATTCCAATTGATCCCTTTTTAGCCCCATGAATGGGTTAAGATTTTGAAACCCCTACATTCCAGTTGATCCCCTCTTAACCCCGCATAGGGGTTAAGACTTTGAAAACCCTGTATTCCACTTGATCATTCTCTAGGTTCTAATTTCTATACAGAATTTAAGTCTTGGTTCTATTACCTGGTTTTGGTGGTCGGTTTTCGAACCGGGGATTGAAACTCGGGATTATTTGAAACTCGGGTTTTTAGCCTTCACCCATAAAATGCACAATTAAAAATTTATAAAAAATAAAATGTGAAGGATTGAAAAATATATGCAATATTTTAATATTTGACAATTGCATTTCATCGTCATAAAATATTTAAAAGGTACATGCAAATCTAATGAGGCAAAAATAGGGTCCGATTTAAATTGAACATTTTGATACAAATTCCACTAGGGAGACAAAAAATAAATTTTCATTAGCAACAGACAAATATTCAGATATTAATTGTACACGAATACTGAAAACAGTTAAATATTCCTTCAAAGCAAACGTAGCTGTATCAAAAATTCAAATGCAGCAAAGTGGGTATCGCTTTGATACATCGAAGTCTCTCACCAGACGCTGGTTAGAGTCGAAAACAATTGTTGCAATTTTGAATTCCGACAAACGTTACGTTCAACGGTTGAATTGCAATAAATTTTGAAATTAAAGAGTAACTACGAATTCCTGTCATCCATACTTGCAACAAATTTACTTTCTGTCTAACATCAATTTGTTACGTTCTTTGATATGTTACGTATGTTTTTGCTAACCTTACATTTATGTTTTTACTTCATAACCGAATTCTCTCATTTATTTGTCTTATTCTCTATTGTGCTGCTTCGTACACTAATTTTTTAGTTTTGTATCTCACGCTTCGCTTATTAAAAATGCTTAATTGATTGCTTGTATTACCCATTTCGTTACTGGTTTTTAGTCAAATTACATTTATTTTATTGTATCATAACCTACTTTGGCTTACTCTCTATAATGCTACTTTTGTATCCTAATTTTTTCACTATTCCACCTAACGCTACACATATTATAAATGCTTCTTTTCTTGTTTGCATTTCTTACTTTGTTACTTGTTATTGGTCACATTTCATTCATTATCTTGCTGTTATTGTTGCATCATAAACTACTTTGTCTTATTCTCTATTGTACAGCTTCGTATCCTAATTTTTCCACTATTCCAGCTAATGCTACATTTATTATAAATGCTCCATTATTTGCTTGTTTCTTATCTCCATCTCAGGCTACATTTCCAGCTCGGGCACGTAGCTACCCACGTGGATTTTCTTATCGAACTTATCCAAACTTCCAGGCTAACATTTCGGCTGCTGGCATCAAGATCCATTGCCCCCGCATGATCCACTGTATGTTTTTTCTGTTCATTTTCTAGTCACCTGACACGTGACGAGTTTTCCTTTTCCCGATGGACTTCGTTGCCAATTTGTTGTAACAGGCACCAAAAAAAAAAACACATTTGACGTTCCAGAATTTCATGTAGTGTCGATACAAGGGGCTTTTGAATTTATTTTAAAAATATATTATCGTGTTGCCGTATAGCGTGTGCTGGTCTGTTCTATAATTTGTAGCTTAATTTTTCTTCCCCATAT